TTACCAATTTCTCAAAATTCACTAGAAACGCACCCCATACTTCTAAACCATATTAGACATTACACAATTCGCGAATGATACACATGCAGTCTGTATCTATTTACTACATTAAGCCTATATGGGGGGGGGGGGGGCAGAATAAAAGTTAAACGAAAGGGAGGGGGCGGATGAGGGATACAATTGGAGCGATTCTTCCCCCGTAAAAATAGTTTCTTTTAAGCCGCGGGGATGACGGAAAAGGAAGGTAACTACAGACTTTGGTTCATTTGGATTATTGCCAGTGATATCAACATTTCACAAATTTTAAAGAACCGTGATAGTCCGGATAAGGTTGGAGAACAGCCAGATAGAGCTTTCTCAAAGCAGGTACCTTAAAGAAAAAGCTATTTCTGATTGTCGAAAAAGGAGTATTTCTCAACTTAAAGGTAATACAAAGTTTTGGTTTGGGGTAATGAATTTGGTTCAAATGAATATATTGGAAGCATATGCGATCCTACAATATTCAGTGATCGTTGTCGCGGTTGAAATCGAGTCTAAAGTTATGAAATTCTAAATAATTAACTCTTTATGTTGTATAGCTCCCTCTCAAGGTCAAGATATTAATTAAGCTTTTTTAATTAGCTTAACTAAAACAATGTTTCTTGACTAAAATCGACCAATTAGCTATTCCCGTTTGGAAATTATATATCGCAACTAAATATTCTGAGATTTTCATGATCGCAGCTACCATTGTACGGCCGTAGGCGTTATTTGAAATTTATCAAAATTTAGCGGGAGCACCGGTAAATTTTTATATTCAATTTTTCTCGAAAGCAGAAGTATTTTAGGGGCTAAATTTTCTAGTGCTTATAATATATCCACATGGGCATCCAAATATATCAAAGTTGCAAAGAATCACTATCCACCCAATTTTCAAAATTTCCCAAAACTTTGTATTACCTTTAAGGCCTATGTCACAGTCAAATGAACCATTTCAGTTCCATGGGATGCACTTTCCAGCCGTTACTAGAACAATACGGATAGACTAACGACAAGAAGCAACAGTTGTACATAGCCACGGCAAGTTAATGTCATGGCATTGCCGCCGGGATCATCGCTGGGATTCTGTTCAGGAGGAGCGCCACTGGGATCCTGTCCAGGAGGATCGCCGCTGGGATCCTGTCCAGGAGGAGCACCGCTGGGATCCTGTCCAGGAGGACCGCCGCTGGGATCCTGTCTATCTGGAGGACCACCACCTCCCATCATATTTCGCTCGTCAACCACGCCTGTATAGCAGCCCATTATGTAAGGGAAGTCTTCGGTGATGTGGTATTGGTAGCTTCCATTTACCCATCGTCCATGGCAGTCATCCAAGTCCGCAGACATTAGTTCATTGCCGTTCTCATCGTTGTGTCCGTAGATGGGATAGCCGTCCAATGCGACGCCAACGACCTCGGACGCCACTCCACTCTCGAAGTCAAACACACAACCGGGGTGGTCGTGGTAGTGGTATGTTCCCGCCTCTGGAGTTGGGTGACCGTCGCAAGAATCGAAAAGCTCATTCTCCACCGCGTCGGTCCCAATACGGGTGTATGGGTTAAAGTAGGGGACACCATTGAGAGCCAAGCCTATGGTTCCCATTGGGAGCTCGGTCACATTGCTCGCTTTCACTGGCGTTTTCAGAATATAATACACAAAATCCTGCTCGATGATCACGCTGGAGTCCTGGTCGTTCGGATAAGGGCCTGCCTCGTGGTCAGGGATGCCGTTGGCCATGATGACGTAGTTAAGTTCATCGTATTCCGTGATCGTTATGAATCCTTGAAGACCCGTGTTTGGATCTGTGTGTGTTCTGGCACCGAATGCTGCGATCTCGTCTGGTGAAAGAGCAATCGTCTGCTTGAAAAGCAGAAGGAAAAATACCCAAACTCCTGGGAGAATCTGATAGCCTCCGATAGACTTCATTCTGAAAATATATAACGATAATCATAATTTATCTATAATAAAGAGATATCAATTTAGAACCACGATTTATATTATTTTAAAATCTAGATGTCATCTTCTTTTGTAAAAAGAACAACTGACTTTATTTTTTGACGTGTGACGTTATGGCAACAACTGATCAATTTCTAAGCTTAAGAGCATGGAGGGAAATCGGGGGGGGGGGGGGGGGGGGGGAGTGGGGTCGTCCTCCATGATTTGAAGGGAGGGAACATAATATCAAATTAAAGTCCCACACAATTTGTTGGTATTTAATCATTTGATCCCCCTCTCCCACCCCCACACAATCACTATTCACAGAATGTTTGTGAAATTTCACCCTAAAGTGTGCTAAACTTTTTTTCTCTCGTTTGTCAAACAAATCTGGAGAACAACAATGCGTCTCCTCCACGACTTATTAGCGCTTTTCGCTCATGCTCAGAAGGTCAGTTCTGTGCCCTTGATTCCCCCGTGAGGAAGTTTTAATCTGCCAAATATAATTTGTTATGATCGTGGTGTAGTTGTTCATTCGCTTGACTGCCAATCCAAGGGTTACGGGTTCGAATACCAGCCCGCGGTGCAAACGTGAATTTGGCTTTCGGCTCTTCCCAAGAGCCTATGATCATGTATTGACAATGATAAATTGACTGCAGGATTCATGAACAAAAAATATTTTCTCGCCTGAATAAATCAACTAATTACTATTAATAGTTATCACTAATTTTTAACTACCATAGCACCTACCTTGATTGGTCCTCGAAGTCGAACGGATGGAGATTTTCTGTTGACACCAGTTATTATGTCGCCTGTCTGAAATGCATAAACCTGTCCGATCGTCAACTATCAGCTGAATGAAATATAACTATTATCTGTATTATCTTAAGTACAGGACTTTTGGTTGAAGCACATATGTTCGTGTGTTTAATCATTAAGCCGTATTGATGTTCAACAAGTTACTATAAATAGCAGAGTGACAAAGCATAATTATCTTTTTCATCAACCGAGATAGTGACTGGTGGTACCTGTTCGTACCGGCCCACAGTGGAAAATGGACTAATTATCCATGTTTTTTATAAATCCAGAAGATATGTTTAGATCTCCGCGGTGTACCGCTTAAATTTTAATACCACCATTTTTTCTGATGTCTAAGCTTCAAGTTAATACCAAATTTGGCTGCCCGATCTTGCCCGTTGTTATGTTAGAGCCGATTTCCCTTGCCACATTGCCCCGAAAAATGTGAGTTTTTTTTGTCTGCGGCTGAATCATGAAGGATTCGTGGTCATAAATCACGGCGCGAGGGGGCGCGTGACACTTGTTCTGACACCGCGGACCAAAATAAACACATTTTTCGGGGGCAATGCTGCAAGGAAAACGGCTCTAACATAATAACGGGCAGAATCGGGCAGCCAAATCTTTTATCAACTTAAAGCTTAGACATCAGAGAAAATGTTGGTAATAAAATTTAAGTGAAAATCCCTGGAAATCCAAACATTTCCTCTGGATTTATAAAAAATAAATTCCCAACCATGAGTTTTGGCGCACTTTGGTTCCTCCCTGGCCCACTGCGCGGCCCATTGACTATTATACATCTAATATCACTTTTTTCGCTTGACTGCCAATCCAAGGGTTAAGGGTTCGAATCCCAGCCCGCGGTGCAAACGTTCTTTTGGCAAGACATGAATTTGGCTTTTGACTCTTCCCAAGAGCCTATGATCATGTAAATTGAATGCAGGATTCATGAACAAAAAAAATATTTTCTCGCCTGAATAAATCAACTAATTACTATTAATAGTTACCACTAATTTTTGACTATACATAGCACCTACCTTGATTGGTCCTCGTAGTCGAACGGATGGAGAAATTCTGTTGACACCAGTTATTATGTCGCCTGTCTGAAATGCATAAACCTGTCTGATCGTCATCAATCGGCTGAATGAAAAAGAACTATCATCTGTATGATCTTAAGTACGGGACTTTTGGTTGAAGCACGTATGTTCGTGTGTTTAATCATAATAGCCATATTGATGTTCAACAAGTTACTATGAATGGCAGAGTGACAAAGCATAACTATCTTTTTCATCAACCGAGATAGTGACTGGTGGTACCTGGTCGTACTGTCCTATTGACGTGACTATTATACATCTAATATCAGAGTTCACGGCTCACTCAGGAAATCATTGTTCGTTCCATAACAATATTTTGTCATACTCAATGGGAATGCTATACAAATACAACCGTCTTGGTCTGACGGCAGGAAGGGTGATGGGGGCTGGGTATGGGATGGGGCGGGGCGGGGGCGGGAGCGGAGGGCAGGGTTGGACTGGGTTAAAATACAGACAACTTAGGTTGGGGGGGGGGGGTGACCGGCTTTTCTATTCGAAAATAACCCTCACCATGTGAGCTAGTTTTCAACCTTTAGAATAATCTGAAGATATCCAAACAGGCTATACGATAAACATTCAGACTGCAATTAAATGCAAATATGCAATCGTCATTAAAGGAACACCTAAGAAGTAGAAGAAAATAGTCTGTACAGACTGAGTTGATATAATAAGTCTGAATTTATACATAACATAATAATGGGAAATACCGTAATCATCATCGCTATCGTTATCGTAGCTTGCGTCGACTAGCTGTCGTTTTCCCTTTCCAAGCGGTGTGGAGAACGCCATCTTTTCCAAAATTGCAATGAACGCATTGGTCGTTTGTAAGGATTCAAGGTTTATGCAGGGAGATGGGAGGAACGAAGGTGTAGTGATAATAATCGCAATAGAGTTTTTTTCTTCATTGGGTTGACAAAAACAAGAGGAACGCGACTAAGGTCTTGCCACTCATATCGTGGCTAATCCTGATAATTCAGAAGCACCACCATTACTTCATCATCCCTATCATATATAGCAGCATTACAGATCATCATCCATGCATCATCATCACCACCACCATGCATTATAACATCGATCATCATCATCATCATCATCATCATCATCGTAGTTATCATAATCATTATCATCATCATCATCATCGTCACATCACCATTATCATCATCATCATCATCCTCAACAAAAACAACAAAAACAACAATATGATCACAAGAGCTAAATCTCATTATTACGAATTCAGATCACGATCATCGATGATCATTAAAATAATGATCATCTTCATCATCAAAACATCATCATCTTCATCATTAATTGCCGTCATCATCAACATCTTTATTTAATCATCACCATCATTATGTTCACGAATTTCATCTTCATCAATGTAAATATCATTATCTGCATAATCATAATCGTTATTGTTATTTCTGTTTCAAAGATGAAGATGGAACAGATGATGAAGATGACAAAAATAAAGAATATGATGAAGATGTTGAAGAAGAAGAAAAAGAAGAAGAAGAAGAAGAAGAAGAAGATGAAGAAGAAGAAGAAGAAGAAGAAGAAGAAGAGAAGAAGAAGAAGAAGATGAAGAAGAAGAAGAAGAAGAAGAAGAAGAAGAAGAAGAAGAAAAAGAAGAAGAAGATGAAGAAGAAGAAGAAGAAGAAGAAGAGGAAGAGGAAGAAAAGAAGGAGGAGGTGGAGGAGCTAGAGGAGGAAAAAGAGATGGAGGATGAAGAAGAATATTTAAGGTTTTAAGGAGCAACCCAAGATAGCAAATATTCCTAATAAGCATAAACACGACTGACAAGTTGATGTAGAAAATGTGATGAGGTAAAAAGAAAACGTAATTAAAATCCTTCCTCATATATTTTCATGTTTTGATGAGATCAGGAAATAAAATTATTTGAATTGAATTGAGTTAGATTACAAGATTACATTAAATGAAATGGAAACTTTTATGATGTATAAAAGCAGTATTCTAATATACATTTTAAAAAAATAATCTATTCTTCACCAGGCATCATGTGATACTTTCATGTTTGTTAATAAAGTTAGGCTCATAATCATTTGTTTAGACAAAATAACTTACATGAACTAACTATTGACTTTTTTTCGTCTTGATTAATTTGAATTTATTGCAATGACATCGTCACAAGGTATAATGACATTTTGTTACAGATAATTAGCAAACAAAAAGTAATCATAGCAGTGTTTAGTCTTCACCTGCACAACATTATTACATTTCTCCACATACAGATAAAGCTCATCTTATATATCAATAATATTATAAATAAGTTTATAAACATCTTGTTTCATTATGCACAAGGTTTCAAAAAAAATTCCCCTCTAACAAATAGGCTATATAACACATCTTATATATTCAATACATTTCCAAACAACGTTATTATCGTCTAGTTTCATTATCTTTACAAATCTTTCTTTATCGTAGACATTTTTAAATTCATTATCAAACTTTTTTCAAACAATATTTCCTTCTAGGGACTAAAATTTGTACAATCCATGGTGGTGTGATATTCGTCTCCAATTTCTCCATTATTACAATGATTGCAGGTACGTATAATGTGTTGGTAATTTATTCGGGCGTCTATGACATCCAATATCAATGAGTAAATCATGCGATCTTATTCTAAATCGGCAAACATCTTTACGTAATTTATTACTCTTTACAAAAGTTAAATATTTCTCTTGTTTTTTTTTTGCTTACACAATCTTTATCTTCGCAATTTTTGTTTTCCTTTCCGTATACGTAATCACTGTTGGAATCCACTTGAAGTTGGGAATCATATATTTCTCAAAACTTAATTCTGTTTTCTATCCGACTATTGCATCTTTATTTATAACTTTTTCCAATTCTAGACATTCATTATTTCCGTCAACATAAAAATTACTTTTCTTTAATAAATCGTAATCATTAAAAAGAAGAATATAACAAAGAGTTTTCATCAACACTTTTCATGCGAATCCGATATTTCATGACATTTTCATAAGATATTCTCTAGCTTCAGCCAACACAGCCAATATACTACTATTTTTATTTACAACTAAGATAGGCCTATTTCGTATCCATTGCAAATGAACACTCTTTATAACATTACTGAAAATATATTTGAATTCCCCTCTTCAGTCGTTACTAATTTTCCAAAATTCAATCCAAAAGCACCTCATAATTCTGAACCACATAATAGGACAGCTTTAACAAGATAATTAAATAAACGAGCGGTTATCTTAATATTCGGAAGATGCTCCCCAAATGACTTAAGTAATCGAACAATTACCTTAGTTTTTAGATTACTCTGGCAGTGTTATTAATGTATAGGTTTTCCCGCCCAACTTCGTAAACTTAGCATCCGAATTAACGTTACGTTCATTCAAGTTCGTGCGAAATTGAATGACTATGTAGATCAACATTCAAAAAGCTAATTGCGTCGTTCAATTTGATTTAGTAGCATGCGATTTCATACTCTTGTCACGGAGAAGTGCAAAACGAGCATTCAATTTAGAAAAGCGTGCAAAGAGCATTCAAATTCGCGCCGGACAGACGGTGGTATGTATTCGAGCATTCAATTTCGTGATTAGGCATCCATATGTGACATTTGTGCATTGCTTTTCATTTGATGTTAATTTGTCACTTAATATACTTCTGTTTGAATAATTTAATGCTAAGTTTACTAGTAGGAATGATTATGCGTATTCGTTAGCAGATATATGTCATTACACAGGTAACTGTCCCCATAGAAGGCGCACAATTTGTGACTTCTCTTCTTTTTCTAAGAACAAGCTATATAATTATACACAGATCCTGGACAGCGGTAGAGTTGAGCTTTAGACATGGCCATGATGGAAACAAAATGCAATGATGAATAAAGAAAAATATGTGAAATGAAAGGAAAGAAAGATTACCCACTCAATCCAGATTGATAAAAAAAAAACATTTAAAAAATAACCTCATTTATAATGAAAGATATGAAGACATGACTGTATAAAGAAATGTTCATCAAAAAAAAGATCGACAGAAAGAGAAAATATTGAATGCAATATAAATATATCAGACAAATAAGAAGATTGTATAATGTGAAATCATGTCAGAAAAGATCGTAGAGAAAAATAATAAACAAATGAACATGAAAAAGTGAATATCCGAATAAACATCGAGCCTCATACAATAATTATGAGGTCTAGTTTTAATTTGAATGACCCGATTGCAAAAGAGGTTGCCCATAGACGAAAATGAAACCGCAATTCGACAAAGAATTGTCCTCCCACTCAACTTTGGCGAAATTGAATGACGCTAACGCATTTCCAAATTGATTGAACCAAACGTTAATTTGAATGTGCTTGTTTCGAAAATTCGGTGACTCGAAACGAAATTGAATGCAAAAAGTTTAAAAATGAAACAGGGAAGCAACGAGTGGAGAAAATTTGCTCGAACATGAATGCACGTTAGTGAAATTGATCGCTGCCTTGACGAAATTGGCCGGGAAAACCTATATTACTAAATGAACCACGTGTAGAAATAGCTCGACATAAACATACTGCCTGCTTTAAGATTTCAATTTCCTCAACATTTATGTTACAGCCATGTTGTGTCAACAACTTTCCATTCTTAAATTTTGTTTTCTTAGTATTTACTTCGGGTAACTATTTCTTAGAATAATTCCCAAGTCTATCCATCAAAGTTTGCATTCCGTTTTTAGTTTTGGATATTAGTACAATATCGTCCGTGTGTATCACTACCTGTTGTTCCTATTTTATCGTAGACATTATAAAATTTGCGAATGCTACACAGTCTGTATCTAATTACCACATCAAACCTATAAAAATAATAATAATAATATGGATATATAGCGCCGGTATCCGCCAGTCTACAGCCTGCTTTACAATTTCAATTTCCTTACCATTAATATTACATCTATGTTGTGTCAACGACTTTCCATTCTTAAATTTTGTTTTCTTAATATTTACTTCGGGTAACTATTTCTTAGAATAATTCCCGATTATTCCGTTTTTAGTTTTGGATATTAGTACAATATCGTCCGTGTGTGTCACTACCTGTTGTTCCTATTTTATCGTAGATATTACAACATTTGCGAATGCTACATAGTCTGTATCTAATTACCACATCAAGCCTATAAAAATAATAATAATAATATGGATATAGCGCCGGTATCAGCCAGGCTACTGCCTGCTTTACAATTTCAATTTCCTCACCATTAATATTACATCTATGTTGTGTCAACAACTTTCCATTCTTAAATGTTGTTTTCTTAATATTTACTTCGGGTAACCATTTCTTAGAATAATTCCCGATTATTCCGTTTTTAGTTTTGGATATTAGTACAATATCGTCCGTGTGCATCACTACCTGTTGTTCCTATTTTATCGTAGATATTACAAAATTTGCGAATGTTACACAGTCTGTATCTAATTACCACATCAAGCCTATAATAATAATTATAATAATGATATGGATATTTATAGAGCGCCGGTATCCGCCAGGCTCTGACGCTTATGGCGCTGTACATATTAATTACTATCACAAACATATAACTTTCTTAACTAAAATAAAGTAAACTAAAACAACACAAAGTATTACGCTACATTGACATGATTAAAGGTATTACAAAGTTTTGGGAAATTTTGAAAAATGGGTGGATAGTGATTCTTTACAATTTTGATATATTTGGATGCCCCTGTGGATGTATTAAAAACACCAGAAATTTTAGCCCCTAAAACATTTCTGCTTTCGAGAAAATTGAATATAAAGATTTACCGGTGCTCCCGGTAAATTTTGATAAATTTCAAATAGCTCCTACGGCCGTACAATCGTAGCTGCGACCATGAAAATCTCAGAGTATGAAGTTGTGGTATATAATTTCCGAACGAGAATAGCTAATCGGTCGATTTTAGTCAATAGACATTGTTTTATAGCTTAATTAATATCTTGACCTTGAGAGGGAGCTATTCAACATAAAGTGTTTATTATTTACAATTTCATAACTTTAGAGTCGGTTTCGACCGCGACAACGAACACAGAATATTGTAGGATCGTATATGCTTCCAATATGTTCATTTGAACCAAATTCATGACCCCATACCAAAACTTTGTATTACCTTTAAATAGCACAGTTTAGAAAGAGATGGGTTTTTTAGAGCAACTTTGAAGTCATGGAGGGCAGTTAAGTTACGAATACTATAGGGGGCAGAACAGGAATTATAAGAAAGGGAGAGGACGGAGGAGGACAGAAATTGATGCAATTCTTTCTCCGTGAAATAGTTTCATGTAAACCGCGGGGATGACGGAAAAGGGAGGGAGCTCCAGAATTTGGTTCACCTGGATTCTTGCCAGTGATATCCATAATTTCACAAATGTTAAAGAATTGCCTGTTTCGGTGATCTGTCACCTGATAGTCCGAATAAGCTTGGAGAACAGCCAGATAAAGCTTTCCCAAAAGCAGGTACCTTAAAGAAAAAGTTACTACTGATTATCGAAAAAGGACTATTTCTCAACTTAAGGCCTACGTCACAGTCAATTGAACCACTTCAGTTCCACGAGAAGCCAGCCGTTACTAGAACAATACGGATAGACTAACGACAAGAAGCAACAGGTGTACATAACCACGGCAAGTTAATGTCATGGCATTGCCGCTGGGATTGTCGCTGGGATCCTGTCCAGGAGGATCGCCGCTGGGATTCTGTCTAGGAGGAGGACCGCCACCTCCCCCCATCATATTTCGATCATCAACCACGCCTGTATAGCAGCCCAGTATGTAGGGGAAGTCTTGGGTGATATGGTATTGGTAGCTTCCATTTACCCATCGTCCATGGCAGTCATCCAAGTCCGCAGTCATTAGTTCATTGCCGTTCTCATCGTTGGGTCCGTAGATGGGATAGCCGTCCAATGCGACGCCAACGACCTCGGACGGCAGTCCGCTCTCTAAATCGAACACGCAACTGGGATGGTCGTGGTAGTGGTATGTTCCCGCCTCTGGAGTTGGGTGACCGTCGCAGGAATCGAATAGCTCATTCTCCACCGCGTTGGTCCCAATACGGGTGTAAGGGTTAAAGTAGGGGACACCATTGAGAGCCAAGCCTATGGTCCCCATAGGGAGCTCGGTCACTTCGCTCGCTTGCACTGGCGTTTTCAAAATGTAATACACAAAATCCTGCTCGATGATCACGCTGGAATCCTGGTCGTTCGGGTAAGGGCCTGCCTCGTGGTCAGGGATGCCGTTGGCCGTGATGACGTAGTTAAGTTCATCGTACTCCGTGATCGTAATAGTTCCCTGGAGACCGGTGTTTGTGTCGGTGAAGGTTCTGGCACCGAACGCTGCGATCTCGTCTGGTGAAAGAGCAATCGTCTGCTTGAAAAGCAAAAGAAAAAACACCCAAACTCCTGAGAGAATCTGATAGCCTCCGATTGACTTCATTCTGAAAATATATAACGATAATCATAATTTATCTATAATTAAGAGATATCAGTTTAGAACCACGATGCATATTCTTCTAAATTCTAGATGTGCAACTTCTTTTGTTAGAAGAACAACGGACTTTACTTTTTGACGCGTGATTGATCGAGTTCTTAAAGCTTATTAGGAGCACGGACGAATATCCGGGGAGGGGGGGGGGGGGGGGGTAGGCCTTCCTCTTTGGAAGGGGAGGGAACATAAACAATTTTTAAATGTTCCACACGATTTGTTGTTATTTTACTCATTCGACTCCCTCTCCCCCGAAAAAAAAACGAAATCTGGTTAAAGAATTTTGGTGAAATTGTACCCTAAAGTGTGCTGAACTATTTTTTTCCTTCTCGCTTAACAGATACATCTTGGGAACAACAATGCGTTCCCTCCACGCTCAGAAGATCAGTTCTGTGCTCTTGATTCTCCAGTGAGGAAGTTTTAATCTGGCAAATATAATATGTTACTATCGTGGTGTTAAGGGTTCGAATCCCGGCCCGGTGCAAACGTTCTTTAGGCAAGACATGAATTTGGCTTTGACCCTAGAGCTTATGATTAAGTATAAAGTTACAACTAATTTCTGACTACCATAACACCTACCTTGATTGATTCTCGTAGTCGAACGGATGGAGATATTCTGTTGACACCAGTTATTATGTCGCCTGTCTGAAATGCATAAACCTGTCCGATCGTCAACTATCAGCTGAATGAAATAAAACGATCATCTGTACGGGAATTTTGCTCAAGCGTGTATGCTCCTGTTTTTATTAGGTCGTCCTTGAATAGCAGAGTGAAAAAGTATAATATTCCATGCATCGACCGAGGTAGTGATCGGTGGTACCTGGTCGTACTAGCCTATTATATCGACGAGACTATTGTTCATCTACAATCAGAGTTCACGGCTCGTTCAGGCAATCATTGTCATCGTCAAGCTCAATGGGAATGCTATACAAATTTAATTGGGGGGGGGGGGGGGGGAGGGCTAAAATACAGAAAAGGTATGGGGGGGGGGGGGGGGGTGACCGGCATTTTCTATTCGAAAAACAAACCCCTCACAATATAGGCTAGTTTTCAACCTTTAAAAAAATCTGAAGTTATCCAAACAGGCTTATAAACATTCAGGCTGAAATTGTCTTAACACAACAGAAACATTTTAATGCGATAGTCATTTAGAGGAACTCATAAGAAGTAGGGAAATAAAAGTCAGTGGACAATCTGAGTCAATTTATGTTTTTAACCACTTTTTATTGAACTTTTAATTCTCAATTTTTAACACTATAAACATGAATTTGAAGTTTATTTTCTTTTTTATTAGTTGTATGCTCCCGAATTTTCGTAATACAACTAAATTTATTATTTAGTATCTCGATATCGATTAGTTTGAGTTTGAGTTTGAGTTTATTAACAACAAAAATGATAACAAGTAAAACATAATGTATCAAGCATGATTACATAAATATAACAATATAACACAAGATCGATAACATTACACATGAATAATATAAACATTGTTTTACAAAGTATGTTGTATACAAATGAAACAATAGATTTTGTGTACACTTTTGTTGTTAAAGGGGGTACTAGAAGTTAGCACAAGTGCTAGTTGAGCCTGGTTCCCTGTCTTTGGCAAGAATTGTAAAACTATTTTTTTACTATACTATATTACATATACATGTAACATAAACTATATAATGAAAGTAAACAAAGAAATAGAATAGTCATTTCGAAATATTCCTTACTTAATATGTAAGTCAAATGTGTGTCGACTTCCGTATCAGAACCAAACATACAGTAAATAAAAAATATATGATTATCTAGTGATCTTTTTAGAAATTCTCTAATCTGAGATTTCTTTTTGCCATTTTAAGAAGTCTTAATTTTTTTTTTAACTCAAAGTATTTAGAGATTTCGTTAACCCCTTCCGAAAAGCATTTTAAATCGTATTCCTCTTAAATCATATGGTTTACTATTCCATATTTCCACGCCCATAAATGATATTGAAAATTGACCTTGTGTGGTTTTGTATTTAGGCAGATATAGTTGTCCTTGTTCTTTGCCCCTTGTGCCATATCTGTGCTCTATTACCTGACAGTATTCAATTAAGGAGTGAGGAAGATTGCCATTTAACAAGTCATAGATTGAGGCTGAATCAAATTGTAGAGTTTGTCAAATCATTTATATAAATGAGAAAAAGAGTTGGGCCAAGAACAGATCCCTGTGGAGCACCGCATGATATTTTAAAATATTGAGACATTAGTTCCCGGTATTTCACAAACTGAAATCTATTCTCTCTCTAAGTGCCATATCGTTTGACTTTGGCGATCATGCTGTTCCACAACCCTCGGCTCCTAGCCTTCTGTATTAGTACCACTCCCTGTTCTTTCACTCCTCTCTCTTCCAACAATTTCTGCAGACTGTCCATCAAAAGTATCCTCCTTCTTCCCCTACTCCTTCTTCCCACAATTTTCCCTGTCGAAGCAAGATTCTCTAGGCCTTCTTTACGTATAATGTGACCCATGAACTTCAACTGCCTAATCAACATCTCACGTATGATTTTCCTTTGCACTCCAGCTCGTGTAAGAACTTCCTCATTACTAACTTTGTCAGTCCAGAGGATTTTCATCATTCTTCTTAAAAAAACACATTTCGCAACTTTCCAAACGCTTTTAGTATCAGAGGCTAAACTCCATGTTTCACTACCATACATAAGTACTGGGTAGATGTAACAATTCAATACTCTTATTCTGGTCCTCATACTCATTGTTCGATTTGTCAGAATTTTGCCTAACTTTGAAAATTCAGACTTAGCGAGAGCTTTCCTTCTCTTGATCTTTGTCTCACATCTGGCATCCTCGGGGATCATGCTACCGAGGTAGTTAAATGAGGAGACTTGTTTAACAATCTATTCTTTCAGTTTTAAGTTACGTTTTGGACTGCTGTTCTTGGAGACCACCAGGCATTTTGTCTTGGTATAGTTGATCTCTAGTCCCATTCTCTCACTTTCTTTTACAACTACATTCAGGAGTCTCTGGAGATCTTTCTCTGATTCAGAGAATAAAACAGTGTCATCAGCATATCTCATATTTGTGATTGAATGGCCATCCACTTGTATCCCATTTTCATCTTCCAATTCTCTTAGAATGATTTCACTATACACATTGAACATGTCCGGCGACATAACACAACCCTGTTTTACTCCCGTCTGATGTTAATATATTCACTACACTCTCCTTCTACCCTGATGCATGCAAACTGATTCCAATATAGACTTTGTAGCAGTCTTAGATCTTTCCTACATATATCTACTGCTGAGGTAATCTGCAAACCACTTATTACGAATAATTGTATTTTAATAGTCAGAATGAAAATTGCATATATAATATGTTGTTAGGTTAGGCAAGCTATCATATTTGTCTTACCTAGCAACAACTCATGTATGCAATTTGAATTCTGGCTACCGTTCGTAACAGGTGAATGACCTTATTTGTATCGGGGCGCTTCACAAAGGCATATGCACTTTGGTTACTTTAACTATAACTTTGGTTACATTACGAAAACGGCTACTAAAAGCTGATAAGCACTGTTGATAATCCCTTGCAAGTGGCGTATTGTGGGCTCTGTCAATGGTCCATTTTTGTATTGTAACAACGTTTAATGCACAAGTCTTTGGGAAGAGTCTCGTTACGAATAATTTCATTCACCTATTCGTCTTCTTGTAAAAGCTGTTAAATAACTCGATCAATAACTAAATTTGTAACATGTATCTAATTTCCTTTGTGTATGATAATAAGTTACAAAGAATGGGTTTAGACTGTAATATTTGTATCATTTTGAAATATGGAAAACAATAAACTGAAACTGAAACTGAATATTGTTTGGCTTCTATTTAAAGTACCTTGATAAAAGAGTGGCATTTTCCTTCATTAAAAAGTAGCTTTTTCTTACCGGGTACAATCATCAATATTGATTAATACAATCACTATTCTCATTAAATGCAAGCAGTTCAACTATAATTTCAATGCTATAGTATTGTTAAAAGAATTGAATGTTAAAAAAAGGATCCGCACTTGTTTACCGAAGCTTTTGATGATCTACACATTAACAAAAAACATTTTGCATAAAAGGATGTACAGACGGACGTAACATTTTTAGACAAACTCGTCATGCAAATAGAACCTTCACACAGGATGAACTGTTGTAGGTGGCATTCATAAATACATAGATCCCAAATCCCCTACACTTTCAACCCGGCGCTCAATCTGCTTTTGTTGAAAATCTGGTTTTAACACAGGAAGTTAATTAATGGGTTTAATTTGTCCTATATTCATCGTAATATTTGGCCCATGGGTCAGGTTTAATCGAATTAATAGAGTACAGACCACATGGTTTATAGTTACTGGAGATGTTGAAGCATTACAAAAATTACAAGCAGTAGTTGTAAATAAACGCAACATGTTAATTTCACGGCATCATCATCAGCATCATCATTATCATCATCATCGTTATCATCATCATCGTCATCGTCGTCATCACCATCCACACCGTTATCCGGATTCTGTCCTGGTGGACCATCTCCTCCTGACATCAAATTTCGATCGTCGACCACGCCGGCGTAGCAACCCAGTATGTAAGGGAAGTCCTGCGTGATGTGGTATTGGTAGTTTCCATTTACCCATCGTCCATGGCAGTCATCCAAGTCCGCAGACACTAATTCATTGCCGTTTTCATCGTTGGGTCCGTAGATGGGATATCCGTCCAATGCGACACCCACGACCTCGGAGGGCACTCCGCTCTCTAAATCGAACACACAACTGGGATGGTCGTGGTAGTGGTATGCTCCATTCTCTGGAGTTGGGTGACCGTCGCAAGAATCGAATAGCTCATTCTCCACCGCGTCGGTCCCAATAAACGTGTATGGGTTAAAGAACGGGACGCCGTTGAGGGCCAAGCCTATGGTCCCCATAGGGAGCTCGGTCACTTCGCTCGCTTGCACTGGCGTTTTTAGAATGTAATACACATAATCCTGATCGATGATCTCGCTGGAGTCCTGGTCGTTCGGGTAAGGGCCTGCCTCGTGGTCAGGGATGCCGTTAGCCTGGATTACATAGTTGTCGGTATCATAATTCGTGATCGTAATAGTTCCCTGGAGACCGGTGTTGGTGTCGGTGAAGGTTCTGGCACCAAACGCATCGATCTCGTCAGTTGTTAGACCATTCGTTTGTTTGAAGAGCAGGATACAAATCACCGAAAGTCCAACAAGCACACGATAACATCCGAGTGATTCCATTCTGCAAATACAGATAATACATGAATATAATAAACTATTTCCAGTCATTGAAATCATTACTAGTGGTTGCACGCGAATGAGGGGTGGGGTGGGGTGGGGTGGGGATGGAAGGGGCAATTCCCCCAATTGGAGGATACTGCTCTGGGGTGTTATCTTAGTAGGTCGAAAATTAAAAAAGGCTTCATTTTAATTCAGCTATTTTAGCTATTTGTTTACCCCTTTCCTCCACACACTTCCAAACTAACTCAGCAAGATAACACAGTTTCTGTTTTGAATAGAGAATGTAAGCCCCTCCCTGCCCCCTCTCTTTTTCAGGTCCCTAGGTGACGTAAATCAAATGCTTTAAAACAAACGATTTATTAATGGGTCTTTTCATTAAAGAGAAACCCATCCTTGATAGGAAACTACTCTAGAGGTAAGTAGAGAAATCAAATCATTGGCAAGTCATGAATTTATGAAAGTTGTAATCACTATAGGTTTGGGCTCTTCAAATTGGCTGAATCGAGAATGTCTCAGTGATGTAGTAGCGGGCAACTTGAACTTTGTTCAAACCCATACAAATGACTCAAGTTTTTTTTAAATGTATGACTCGGGAGGATCATTTCACTTTAGAGGACCTATAAGAGTATGATATCCATAATATATCCGGTCCAGTATATTGGAATAACATAGATCCATCTCTTAAACAAAATATTAGTCTATGCATTTTTTAAAAAAAGTTAAAGACTAAACTTTTAGACTCATATAGATGTACATGATAGAATCTCGGTTTGTTTGACTTTCGACTCAATCTCTTTCTCAATCTCCCTTTTTTAGAGCTTTTGTTTTTGTCTTCTACTATTTTCCTCCATTCATTTTTTTCTTTTCTTTTCTTTTTCTTCCTCATTTTTTCTTCTTTTTTGTTCCTTCTTCCTAGCTACATATTGTCTATTTATTGATCTATAAGCATACTTTGTTCATGTTTTATTGTAAAATTTGCATCTGAGGAACTAACACTTCAACAAGCTCTGCTTCAAGTAAGTTCCTCTTTTCTCGTGCTATTTCCACTATATTTATCGTTTCATTACATATTTGTTGTGATATAATTATTTTTGTATTATGTTTTGCATGAGAAATAAAAGTCAATCAATCATTTCATATATTTTGAGTACTGCCCCAAGGGAGAAGGCGCTTAGGGGAAAATAGATATTTATGATATATTTGTACACGACAAATTCACAAAGATTTAAATTTACATAGTCTTAGTGATCTCATATTTCAAGCATTCATAACTTTCTTATTATTGGTCCTATTTATTTCAAACTTCCGCCATTTTGTTTTTTATCTTATGTTTCTGCTTCATTACAAATGAACATACATGTATAACAAGGGTTGGATCATCCTTTAAGCTTTATCAATTGGTGTTAAAGGTAAAACAACGTTTTGATAATATTTCCACAGGATTGGATGATGAAATTTAAAATTTGCATTACCATTGTGAAACATAGTTTTAGAAAAAGCAACTTTGAAAATATTGGGCTCTAAAACGCTAAGGATCGTGAAAAATTAAAATATCAAATATTTTATCGGTGCTACCGATACATTTCAAAGAGCTTCTACGGCCATACAGTGGTAGCTGCGACCCTGAAACATTTCGGAATATGCAGTTCTGATATATAATTTCCAAACGGGAAAAGAAAATCAGTCGATTTTAGTCAAGAAACATCGCTTTGAAGCTAAAGTAATATCAATCTTGAGAGGGAGCTTAACAACATGAAGTGTCTATTATTCACAATTTTATCACTTTAGACTCGATTTCAACCGCGACAACGATCATTGAATAGTGTAGGATCGCATAAGCTTGCAATATATTCATTTGAACCAAATTCATTACCCCAAACCAAAACGTTGTATTACCTTTAAGTTGAGAAATACTCCTTTTTCGACAATCAGTAATAACTTTTTCTTTAAGGTACCTGCTTTGAGAAAGCTCTATCTGGCTGTTCTCCAACCTTATGTTCATTTAAACCAAATTCATGACCCCATTTCAAAACGTTGTATTACCTTTAACCTGCCATATTATCCATCAGACCATCGGGTGTGGTGAAAACCTTTTTTACCATTACAGTTTATTAAAATGTTGATTTCGTCAATGATCAATGAGTTATTCTGAATACACATTACTGTGATCACTAGATGGTAATTGTAAATTGAATAGCTGATGAAATTTATGCGTCAACATCATCATTCAATAAGCATAAAATGCACTACAACTTTACCTTGATATACTCCAATCTTACCTTATCTTCTTGTTAGTACCTGTTATCGTCAGTCCAAATATGAGACACAAAATTAAATACTGTCAATGCATAACGAACATCAAATTGATACTGACCCGAGATGGTATCCACTCGTACAGAATGGTACGAACGAGTTACGTAATAGCTCCAATCCTTATCTAAAAGGTGCTTTATTTACTCTTCTATCTTGAATATGGGGTACGGAAGACCTGCTATTTGCTCATTTTGAAGCATGATGTCATATCATTATATTTCAGACATACCGCCATAATAATAGAACAGTTCACAGTTAGCACATGTCCCAAATGACCCCGAATATCCACAGATCTGTAAAACATGGAGAGGTCCCACTTTGTACATTCTGAAATAATCACTCCTACAGCGATGGAGGTGCTACATAAATAGCCTTTCCACCTGTGTATCATGGAGTGCGCTGCTTGTGCATAAATGAATAATGATAACATAAGTTTCATGAGCACGTATTCAGGTTTTTGTCTCTGTGTATTACACAATTTGTTCTGCAATGACCTTTATCTGCTCATGCTCAGACTGCAACCTTGAATTGGCTTCTTCTAGACCAACCGATGTCTAGCCATTAGGGGGATACTGTAATGTTCTGCTTAGTCTGGAGTGAATGTGATTGAGGTATATCTTTTTCTCTTCCGAAAGTGGTAGTCACATATTATGATACAGAAATGAAAGAAGGGGCGGGCTCTTTCATTGCTCAGTCAATTCACTCGTTTGTGATACAAAGTGACGTACGGTATTGTGTTTCTTTAAATGATCTAAGTTGGCATGGTAGGTATCTGGGCTGGCCGATTTGTTAAAGTGTCATTTAGAACACAGTGCTGACCATATACATGCCCATAAATAAGACTACCAACATGAAAACAAGGGCGTAAAATTAGCAAGTACCTTTGATAATAATACATATTAAATATAGAATGATATATATTTATATACATTGTAAAGAAATAAAAATAAAAATTATTCTCCATCTCCGGTGTATCTCTCACGATTTGTATTTTCCATGTGATCATGTGACTCATCAATTATTTCTTTTAGAAACCGAATCAATCACCATTCACCGGTAACGAATCCGAGGAGACCTTACAAAAAACCCTAAATTCTGTCTGTCATTATCCCCTTTTAAAGATTGCCTAACTATATTGGCCTTTCATTTTTATTGATGCTGTCATGCTGTCAATGACATTTTTAACCAATGTCACACCCCCTCATCCCAAGCATAACATATTTATGTAGATGGCTCTAAGCTCAACATGGCGAATTCTGTCTCGTGTCTGATACCCTTCAAAGATTCAACCATTTTTTTACAAAGAGAAAAACAGTTTCTATAATTCCACGATTCTACCTTACCTTGCTTAATTATCACAATTGTTACGATTCCATCCCTGCTTGGTACGGGAAGCGACTTCTCCTTGAACGAAATCATTAAAGCACATCTCCAACCCCGAACACAAACACTGCAAACAAAGAGGTTACCATAGAGAGGTGGGAGGGAGACAATGACAATAGCACAGAAGGGATGGTCCCAATTTGGCTTGCACTTACCTTTTGTATACAGACAGATCGTGTTTTTTCATACAATCGACCGCTCCTAAAACATGACGGATAAACACTTGTAAACGGGCTGTAGATATAATATATCGACATACAGGGATCGGAAGAAGGAATATTGTTATATTTCATTTGATAGCGACTTAAATTACGATTTATCTTTTTTTCGATAATCCTTCTTTTGACATCGTATCATTCTGTAGCTGATAACTGTGAAGACATCGTGTGTATACCAGATTCACTACTGAACTCACTGTAAAGGTAAGTTGTATTTATTAGTAAGAATTACTTGTCAATATCAGTGTCACATAATGATGTTCATTTCCTTCGACATAACATCATTATTATTTGTAAATAAGATATGTTATACATATATTCCTTTATTTCTACCTATGATTGATCATTGATCATTGATAAATGAATGCTAACCATAAGAAGTAAAGCAGTGTCCCTCAACCTTACATTTACGTTCGACTACTGAATTTATTCATTCTCATAGGCTTAATACAATGAGTTAACCTAAAAAAATATCGGCAGATCCATGGGGCTGAAACGCCTCTCCATTGGGACAACAAGCATTTCAGGACTAAAATGTGTATTTTCATTGAAAAAAAAAATCTCTCACCCTTATCGGGAGTTGGGAAAACAGTTGGACTTTCCACGAGAAAATAATTACCCCGTATAATTATAGGTATGAAGATATAACTTTGACAGAGGAAAGGTGAATTTGGTACAAATCTATTCCCTAGTTTTCCGGCAATCCTGGATCTGTCCGGCGTGTATCAGAACTAAAATCCTAAAAGAAAAACAGAAAGAAAGACGCACCGTTTTACTAGGACGCATAGTCAACGTGGTAATTATAATAAGGGTAAGGAGCATAATAGACGGATATAGAATGCCAATATATCTATTTCATGTTTTCATAATCAAAGCTTTATCTACTCTTCGATTAATTTCAGATGGTCTGCTTACAGTACTCCATGGCACTCGTCGGCCTTTCGTTGATGATGCTGTCTTACGCTATCGCTCTCTCACCAGATGAACTAAGAAGCTTCATGGCTAGGACTTACATCGAAGACACCGTGGGTTACCAGGGCTTTGTGAGGATATCCAACCACAGCGCAGCAATGTTCCAGATATCGGCCAACGGCATTCCAGACCACGTTACGGGCCCTTTTAATCTACCAGAGGATAGTGACGACGTCCTGGTGCAGAACTTCGAGTATTACATTCCAAAGAACCCCGCGGTCGCTGACAACCCGACCGACCTTAACATGGGACCAATCGGACTGGCCATCAACGGCGTCGCCATTTTTAGTCCCTACAGTGCTCAAGGTACAGATGCGGTCATTACCGAAGAGCGGACCTTTGATGCATGTGACGGCCATCCCTCCCCACGCGGGACATACCACTACCACGGCAGTCCCATCTGCGTCTTTGAAGATGTCGAAGGTGTTCCTTCATCGATCGTTGGTGTGGCGATGGATGGATTTCCAATCTACGGACCCACCGACGAGAACGGGAACCGCCTGTTTTCTGAGGACTTGGACGACTGCCACGGAAGGTACGTGAATGGCCGATATCGCTACCATATTACTGATGACTTTCCTTACATCTTGGGCTGCTATAAGGGTGAGGTTGATGAGAGGAATCTACCACAAGGCATGGGACCTAACAGACCCGACCAAGGTGGAATTCCTGTTCCAACTGGTCGTCCTCCCATGACGAGCCCAACGGAAACCAGAGTGACCAGACCTACAGAGACCAGTGTAACCAGACCTACAGAGACCAGTGTAACCAGACATACAGAGACCAGTGTAACCAGACCCACAGGGACCAGGATGACCAACCCTATGGAGACTAGGAGGCAGATAATGTCAACAAGTCAAACGAGCAACGCAGGAAGTAACGACCCGCTCGTCTTTAGCGGAAATTCGTCCACTTCTTCTGCGCAATCTGCGATTCTTCTTGTCACATCATGTTTAGCCATCGTATTATCTTGTACATGCTAGATTAATTTGTTTCTCGTTTTACCATGTCTTTTCCTTCTCATTTCGACATAAGCTTGAATGAAAAGAAAATATATCTGAAGCGAAAAAAAAGGAAATGTTTTGAGAACGGAATATTTTAACTTGATGAGCATGAGCACAGCAAAGCAAAGAAAAGGAAGGAACAACTATGCACTTAGTCATAAGTGTGTACTATTGAATATCAACATAATTATCTTGATAGACATGATCCCCACGTATAACTCTGGATTATTATAATAGCATTACTATGGATGGTATCTATTTCACATGCACTATTTGTCGATATGTCAGCAAACCACATTCCATTTGACCTCGTCATCACAAGTTCAAACCCCATATAATTGGCAGACTGTAAAACATCATTACTTAACATTGCCATGGGGGGGGGGGAGACTTACCATCTAGCTTTTCAGCAAGAAACGGTTGGAATCATGCTTTACCACGTTTATGCAACGTTTATTTTTGTTGATCATAATAGATTTTCTACCTTAGAGTAGCTGTGCGAAGATTTAAAAAATGAACTTTATTTTCATTATTGTAAAGGTGGCACTTTGATTGGATAAGTATCAAAACACATTTCAGCACTGTTCGGAGAGCTCTTCAGGTGCTATACCGGGACTGTATTTAAGCGTTTTGTAATTGATAATAATCCCTACTTCGAATGTTTCCAAGCACTGCATTTTGATAAAATTGTCCAATCAGAGTTTCACCTTTGCAATAAAGAAAATAAAGTTCATTTTTTAAATCTTCGCACAGCTACTTTAAATGTTGTTGATGCATTGTTATCGAAAAAAAAAATTAACTCGAGCAAACAACAACGGCGACAAGAAAGTTCTTTCTCAACCGGACTATACCTTTTCGAAATAATGTGAAATTAGAGATAATTAAATAAAATATAAATTCCATAAATCTGACATTGTATGCCTCATTTATTGTATGCAAATAGCAATACTCCCTTAATATAATAATATTTAAGATTTATATAGCGCTGGTATACAAGTACAGTTTCTAAGCGCTTTACAAAACAAGTGAAATGAAAAGTACGGTTAAACTAAATATGTAATAAGGATTAACAAGAAACGTGAAATGAACAATGCGCTTAATTAGGACGAATTACTTAACTAACAAAGTATAACGATATCATGATAATGAAAAATGAAAATGTAAATACAATAGATTAAGTATCATTAATGAAAGTGCAATAATTATGTACATTAGACAATAAATAGATTACAAGAAGATAGGACATGTGGTTATAAATACGGTATGAAGATGGACAATTACTTCGTGTTGAATAGATAGGTCTTAAGTCTACGTTTAAAAGTGTCAAGAGTTGGGGATTCACGGACAGAGACGGGGAGATTATTCCAGAGTTTAGGAGCACATACAGAGAAGGCACGATCTCCATAGCGGGTTTGAGTTCGAGGACCAGATGATAGTTGAAGATGAACAGATGATGATGAGCGGAGCCTGATGAAGGAGGTTTGCACCTTTGGTGAAATGAGTCCATTGATGTATACTGGAGCAAGTCCATAACGGGCCTTGTAGGTGAGAAGCAGTACCTTGAATTGGATGCGCTGTGGAATGGGGAGCCAGTGAAGGGAACGAAGAATAGGTGTTATGTGTTCGTACTTTCTTGTGCGTGTGAGGAGACGGGCTGCAGTGTTCTGGATGTGTTGGAGTTTGGTCAGATGTGAGCTGGGTAGATTTATCAACAGGCTATTACAGTAATCAATGTGTGATGTCACAAATGCATTTATTAGGCGCCCAGTAGAACTTTGGTCTAGGTACTTTCGGAGTTTTCCGATCCGGTAAATTCCAAACGAAGCGGCTATGCATGATTTCTGAACATGTTGCTTCATGGTAAGTTTGTCATCCACTGCGACTCCGAGATTAATAGACGATTTTGATGGATTGATTGTATTGCAGTCGACTTCGAAATATGGCAGCTCATTGGCTTTTCGAAATGCTGACGTCACATGCATGAGTTCTGTCTTGGCACCATTAAGCATGAGGTTGTTATCACGAGCCCAGACTTTCACATCTGTGATGCACTGCTCCAGTCTCACCACCCCACTGGCCATTTCAAAATGTAAGCCTCCTAAAGGTCACAACGCACCCACGATACTTATCAACATTAAGATGACCTATCTCATTATTCAGCTACTCACTGAGGATCTTTATCATCAATGATAATATAGACAAATGACAAAGTAATTGGTAAATGCAACTTTTAATTCACATTTTATTGAAAGGGGAAATAAAAGCCCGTCTGTAATGTGAGAGAGTAAAATATGATAAGCTTATAATTAAAAAAAAGTTATTATGAAGACAAATTAGGACTAATTTACTTATCATTACAGCAAATACACACGTACGCCGTTTAGGGAAAATGGCCTAGGCAGACATTTGCAATGCAGCTTTAATTTTTTAGTCTTTATCAATTTTCTTCAGTTTATCAGTTGACAAGCATGGGCGTCGATTATATGTAAGGCAGAGGGTTAGGGCAATAATTGCTCCAGATAATTTAGGATCAACTACACTGTTGTCCATGAACTTTTAATAATCCATACACACGCATGATATGAATATATGAAACAGTATTCTAGTTGATGAATTATAAGATAAGCATGCTTGTTCTTTACTTCCATTATAATCATAATTCACATTGTTCTGCTTTCATTACTTTTTGTTATCTATTCATTGATATTGTATTCGTACACAATATTGATGGATATGTCAATGGAGTTCAATGAATAAATACCAATATAAATACAAGTTAGACATTTAAAGAGCCCCCACAAATTTGATGACAAAATTTCACTTAAATTGTATCATAATGTGAAAAAGGATGTCATTTAAGACACATTTTTGCAATGATTTCAAAAACAAATGTGTTGGAAATCGAATATTGATGAAAGAATACACAATTTGGGTTTTCTGGGTGCTACAGAAAACCCAAATTATGTATTCTGTTATCAATATTTTTATCCAAACACTTTTTTAGGGGGGGGGGGCATCTTTAAAGAAGTGTGCCTTAAATGGTTATGATACAATTTAAGAAAAAAATTGTTGGCGAATTTGGGGCTCCCAACACTTTATAAGTGCTTTAATACACTATGCAGTGTTTTGCCTGGTACAACTTTTGGTCCCCCGGTAAGTGTGCGACTTATGGTAGTTGACTTAAACTTGTTGAACGTTAATTCGTTGGATGTATTAAAGCAATCGATGTAAAGTACTCAGAGAGAGAGAGAGAGAGAGAAAGAGAAAAAGAGAGAGAAAGAGAGAGATATGAGAGAGTGAAGTGTTGTTAGACTTGAGCTTGCTGCAAAGAGATGAAAGAGCAATATAATCACTCCAGTGTATGCTTTGCAGTTATTTATATCTCGGTAATCTCTTCCAGCTCCAATTATGTAATGTTTATTATTTAATTAGGGAGTAGGCTTTGCGTTAGATCTCGAACTTTGGCAAGCTTCATTATTTTGGTTATGTGGTTGATTTTAACTTGTTGAACATTAAAGAGGTGGATGTATTAAAACAATCGTTGTATTGAACTCAGAGAGAATGAGAATGAGAGAGAGAGAGAGAGAAAGAGAGAAGAGGTAGAGAGAGAGACAAAGAGGGGAGAGAGAAACATAAAGAGAGAGAGAGAGAGAGAGAATGAGAGACAGAGACAGAGACATATATAGAGAGGGAAAGAGAGCGAGATAGAGAGGGAGAATGAATCAATGAAGAATGAAGGTTGGATCAGAGTCTCCCTGGTAACAATGCAAAGCAAACACACTGTGCAGGGCTGTACCATGGCACCGGTGACCATGGACATTTGTGTTAGGTCCATGGTTGTACCTGGTACCACTAATTGCCTCCCGGTACGCGTGCGATTTATGTTAATTGACTTAAACTTGATGTATTAATACAATCGCTATATTGATCTCATAGAGAATGAGAGAGAGAGAGAGAGAGAGAGGGAGAGAGAGAGAGAGAGAGAGGGGTAGAAAGAGAATGTGTGCGTGTATGTGTGGGACAGAGAGAGAGAGAGAGAGAGAAAGAGAGAGATATGTACACAGATATCATGATACACATGTTGAGCTTTAATGTGTTAGATATATTGACGCAGTCGATGTATTGAACTCAGAGATAGAGAAAGAGAGAGAGAGAGAGATAGAGGAGAGAGTGATGTGTTGTTAGACGTGAGCTTGCTAATAGATGAAAGAGCAATATAATCACTCCAGTGTATGCTTTGCAGTTCTTCATATCTCGATACTCTCTTCCACCTTCAATGTAATGTTGATTTAATTAGGGAGTGGATTTTGCGTCAGATCTCGAACTTTGGCAGGCTTCATTATTTTGATTGAATACCGAACAAAGAAGACGTGTAAGAACTTTGTAGTTATTCTTTCATTGTAACACGACGAGTGTTGCCAAGGAACTGATGATAATTAATCATATGCACATGAAACTATAGTTATTGGAAAGTTTAACCAAGTTGAATACAAGTTTGCTGCAAGAGAAAGATACAACGGTCGGAAATGGTAAGTGTATTGCTTTTTGTTTCCATTATTTTCTCAATTTTTTTTCCATCTTCAGGTTTGTTGTTATCGCTGTCTGCAGACGTCTGGTGTTAATCTTTAAGTATATGAATTTTATTCTGTTAATGATGAAAACATGAATAAAAGTGTAACTACAAGCTCATTAAAAGAACCGAGTTCATAAACGAGCATTGGGGACATGCTTTAGGCCAATGAATATTTAGATGGGTGGTATGTTGTATATTAGAACGTCGGGTACAAAATTATCAATGTTGACTACTTATACAACGATATATGTACAAGCTATATATTATAGCGGTTAATGTGAAAACAAGTTAAATACATCTGCAAACATGTGGCTCTCGATATCGTGTCCCATTGACTAAGTGCACCACATAGCTATTCTTTTTATTAAGAGGGTGTTACGTAACATGATGCTATACACTCGAGTGCACTGATATGCAATTCATTTTTTTTACCATTTTGCTTCAAATTTCCGATGCGAGAGAAAACTCCCTGTAATTCATTTTATATATATTTAAAAAAGTAGATATACAGATGAAATTCCGTGCTGAAATCGTTTAAAAATAGGAAAATAAATTTTGTTTCTTCTCAGCATAGAGTATACCGTGTGAGTCAAAAAAAAGTTTACACCTAGAAAATTATTATTATTAATTATTGCTAATTATTTTTAAATTCATCTATGAACAGTAAATTATTATACATATTATGAAAGAGTGTTTCATCTCAAATCATTTGGTATCATTTTTGTGTTGTATGTGTTCACGCTTTAATGAACACGAGGCATTGTTTGCGAGAGTGCAAAAATCGACTTGCGCCAAAGTGATGCGTACAGTATGTATTATGTTGGGATTAGTGGAGTGAGAGAATGAATTAAATGCAGGCGCGTACACAGGGGGGGGGGGGGGTTTGGAGGGTTAAACCCCCCCTTTGGTAATTTGTTGTGTGTAAACCCCCCTAAATTTCTCTAAAAAACCCCCCCCCCCTTTTGGATTAAAAAAAAAAAATTAAATTTTTATTTTAAAAAATAAATATTCCCATGGTTGACCTAAAAAAAGCTGACCTTACCCCCCCCCAACGGAGCAAAATGTCAAATTTTCAAATTTCGAGACCCCCCCCCCAAAAAAAGTGACCTCTTACCCCCCCCCCCCCCCCCCCCGCTTATTCAGCCGCTGGCTGAGTCGTTGCGAAATTTTCGGCCCGATTTATAAATGTTAAACCCCCCCCTTGAAAAAATCCTGCGTACGCGCCTGATTAAATGTATCAAATGAAATGCATTGCATATGCTTTTTGTAGAAGCAAAGTCACACACGCACACTGACACGCGCACACATGTTATAGATATTTGATATTCAATATTTGATATGTGTGGCATGATTAATTTTGTTAGGGATGTTATTTGGATCTGCAAAGACCGAATTAATACCCAAATCCAAATTGTTTTATTCAAACATCACATAAGCAACTTTTGCGCAAGTCGATTTTTGCACTCTCGCAAACAATGCCTCGTGTTCATCCAAGCGTGAACACATACCACACAAAAATGGTACCAAAATTTTAATGATTTGGGATAAAAAACTCTTTCATAAGATGTATAATAATTTACTATTCATAGATGATTTTTAAAATAATTAGCAATTGTCTTGGTGTAATTTTTTTTGACTCACTCTGTATTGAACACGATCGCAATTGTTTTCGAAAAATCAATTCAAAGGCAATTTCAAAAATCCTTTTGTTTCACATTCAAATCATGTTCGGATTACGTTACACGTCAGTGTCATGTTCGAACATGTCAATATTTGAAGAATTTCATTCCAAAAGGAGCTAAATCCATTTTTGTAACTTCAGAGAAATAAGAAATTGTTTACCAGAATTTGTACAGGCATCTATGGAAAAGTGATATTAGAAGGTGCATTTTTCATAATTGCTCACAAAATTTAGGTTAATAATTTTGTTGAAAGACGAGTAATTAAAGGCCCACTGCACTACTCGCAGCTACTTGCGCCCTCTATATAACAGACAATGCCTAATCGGTGACCATTGCTCTCCCATGATCCTCTTTTTCTTATGTTAACTGAGAGCTGAGTTGATGAGATAACCACCTGTCACAGTGACCTTGCAGGGCAGTCTAATCCCTCCTATAAACTACGGCAGATAAGCTTTAAGTGAACAATGTTCTGATATCAATAACTCAATTTTCATCAAAAGTGGATTTAGCTCCTTTTGGAATTAGGCTCTTCATTTGATGCACGAGCAATGCTATTGAAATTCCTTTAGGTTGATTTTATTTCGAAAGGAGTTGCTATCGTGTTGATATTTGAATTTCTCTCATCATTGTCATCCTCTTGGAAAAACGTGGAACGATCAAAACGTCAAGATATAGATATAAAAACCGGTTCTAGGACACCTACCCCCTGGAAATCCACCCCGGATAACCACCCCTAGGATAACTACCCCTAGGACAACTACCCCCTAGGGCAACCACATTCTCGGACGACTACCCACGGGACAACTACCCCCGGACAACTACCCTCAGACAACTACACCCTAGCGAAACTACCCCTGGACAACCATCCTCCAGGACAACTACCCCCGGACAACTATCTTAGGGGGTAGATGTCTTGGGGTAGTTGTCCTAGGAGGTAGTCGTCCTAGACGGTGGTTGCCCTAGGGGGTAGATGTCCTAGGGGGTAGTTGACTGGGGGTGGTTATTCGGGGGTGGATGTCAAGGGGGTAGGTGTCTGGATACGATACAGACCATACAGTTAAATAAACGACGAATACATTAAAACAAATCTAATGGTTGGATAGACTGTAAGCTTTATAAAAAATAAGTAAAGATATTGCAATTTGTATCATCAATCTCGTTGGTTGTATGAAAGGAAAATAAAATGTTAACATAACATGTGTCTACGCAATGTCATTAAATGATAACGATTGTTGAAAGAGTCCAAAAGTCCAAGCTAAAAGGTCATACTAGACTTTGAATGAGACGAAATATGATATCAGATAATATTTGTATTTCAATTTATGTTCACAATTCCACAAAAAGGTCAATAATACATGTGCTTGGTAACGTATTGGACATACTTTGGACTTCCCTGACATATTTCATGGTTTTCTCCCCATTTAATTCAAAAACAGATGGGAAACTGTAAATTGACCATGCTGGTATTAACAGCATGCCTGTTCCTGAACGTATTTCTAAATTACGTATCTTGCCTTACCGATGACGAGATCAACGAGTTCGGAGCAAGAAACCACACCGACCCGAACACCGGTCTCCAAGGATTCATCACCATCGCTGAACACAACGATGACACCTATGTGGTGACATCGAACGGGATTCCCGATCATATCGCTGGACCTTTCGCTCTCCCTGACGACGTCGATGACATTCGTGAGCAGGACTTTGAGTTCTACATCCCCAAGAACCCGACTTCGTCGAACGCGAAGTACGAGTTGCCGATGGGTCCGGTCGGGTTGGCGCTCAACGGCGTCGCCCTCTTCAACCCGTACGCCGTTGGGGGAACCGACGCCGTGATCACGGAGGAGGAGACGTTCGATGAATGCGATGGTCACCCAACACCCATTGACGGTATCTATCACTACCACAGCAGTCCTTTCTGCGTGTTCAGCGACCGAGATAACGTACCATCAACCATCATCGGCGTGGCCCTGGATGGGTTCCCTATCTATGGCCCGAACGACGAGAACGGCAACGAACTGTATACTGCGGATCTTGACGTATGTCACGGCCGTTACGTCGAGGGTAAATACCGTTACCACATCACAGAGGATTTTCCGTACATCTTGGGCTGTTTCCATGGAGTGGTCGACAGCAGGAACCTAAGACCAAACCAGGTCCTACCAACGGTAGATACTAGCGGTAAGGCTAGCAACATTGTACATGGTAGTGTAACCATGGTGACGGTACTGACTACCTTACTCGTTATTTTGTTCTAATCATTTTAAGTGTCCTTTCCATTTCGACCAAAGCCCAATATAATTATTTCGAGACAACTTTAAAAAAAGCTCATTTACTTCGATAACAACGTCCTCTGTTATACAATTATTTTTAATTATTCTTAATTCTTATCTTAAATGCATGCAGCAAAAATATGTCACTGCGTTCACTTTCAGAAATGTTTCTGTTTGTATTTTGCAAAGTCAACCGATTTCTGTATTCAATTCAATCCAAGACTTTATTCCAGACTTAGCTGTAAAAGCAGAGGTCTATCTGTTGATTTGTATAAATGAATGATGCTTCTAATTTACACGACAATGAAGTCTGACTGTTAGAAAGCGATGGCTCATAATATATATTCAATTTCAAGTTTATCTGATTCCAATAAAAGCATATTCACATACAGGTCAGAAATACAGACCAGATGCAATAATTATATATGAAATCAGTGTATCATACAAGATGAAGGCGGTTTATCGAGATAGTTCCTTTATGCAATAAAGTAGAAAGTGCTCGAATTTAAGAGGAGCAAATAGATTTAAACATCAAATTATATAAATACTAGTATGCAGAACAAAAAACAAAAAAGAGATTAAAAGATGTAATAAAACATAAAATCGGATGTATTAACCCTTTGAAAGCGAGCCCGCGCACGGCGATTGTTTCCCCTGTGACGGAGCGATTTCGGTTACATCGCCATAAATGGAAAATTTGGCGGTGTTTTCTACTTTCATTGAAAGAAAAGAAAGACCAGACAGATGTCTTCATTTTTGAAAGTGTTCTTTCTCTTCCAACAAGGGCCTAATTAATGGCAATAATTCTGTCTGTACATCATTTCTATATTTCTAAAACCGTTGTTTTTTCCAAAAGTGTGAATTATATGAGAATAATCTTTTTTCTAAAGGCATGAAATATACAAGGTGATTTTGATACTCTTTTTATATACACTGCTATGGGAAGAAGATATACTGGGGGTATTAAAATTAAAACAAATTATGGAAGTATTCCATTATCAATGAAAATGTGATGACGATTGTGGAGCGCCAGGAGTGCCAAGTGTGACAGACATAAGGGCCTTAGAAGGACCCATTATTAGTATTACTATAATTATTATTATCATCATTATTTCATCAATATTAAAGCTTGATCTATGCTTGTTTATTATTATCATCAGTGTTATTATTAATATTATTGTATTGATGGAGTTACATTTTACCATTGGAGATGCAGCGAAAACGAATTAAAAAAAAAAAAAAATTCCTGTGTTTTTGTTGTTGTCATAGATTATGACATGGACGTAGTTCGGTGCCATATCTGGAAATTTATACGCAAAAACCCTTTACATACTCTCATCCTATGGACGAGTTTATCAAATAAAAGTTGTGAGCGTAAGCGGCAACAATACTTAATACTTTAGTGTAAATTTCAAAAAAAACTTCAAACAAACTAATTGAATGACAAGACATACCTGTTAATTACTTGTTACGGGCGGCGACTGATGTTCAACTGCTTCGTCAAAACCCATGCTGCAGTTATGTTTGTCGCAGGTAATGGGCTAGGTAGGGCCTCTATTGATAAGACCTTACTTAAGCTGGTTGTTACCTAATTACCTAGGCTATAATTGTGAGAGTAGTTGACTACCAGGCTTAATAAAGCCCTGTTTACAAAATGTATTTAAATGTATGCATGTTTCTTTCCCGCCACCTTGGTTTAAATACCAATAGTCTGATTAATCTCTACGGATAGAATTCACTTTGCAAAAATTAGTTGTCGCTATGACGGGTAATCATCTGGTAAGCTGTTTAGATGTAAGATATACTTTAAAAAGAAAGTGTGCGTCCATCTTTTAAGGGTTTCTATTCTAGGCTTCTAAGGGGGGGGGGGGGCTGTTTCTCTTCTCACCCTTTACAATTTATATCTTTCCTTTTCTACTTTTCTTTCCTTCTTTTCCCTTATTTTTGTGTAGTCATTCGATATAAAGTATGTGTGTGTGGGTTTATACACACATGCATATTGTTTTAAGTCATAGCGTATAATATAAACATATATTACAATTAGGGAAATGATACAAGGAAATATATATTTATATATTCATATATTCTGTTTTCTAAATATCTCTTTGATAAATTGATATATTCGATATAACTTCAAGAGCGTCTAGCACCGAAAATTTAGTAAATGCAAACATTGTTTCTTTGTTTTTCTAATGTAAATATGAATAATAGACTAACTATGGAATAATTTAAAATAAAATGTTAAATTTTATAGCAACCTAAGGTGGAAATATAAATTTCAAAACAAGTGTTGTTTTTTCGTTCGAAATATATTCCTGTCAGCTCTACATTTTCACCCTCATCTAGCGTTGGGTATTGATATATTTTCTGATATATATATATTTGTATATATATATATATTTATATATATATATATATATATATATATATATATATATATATATATATACGCATGATATGACTACATGAAACGGCATCTTTCTAGTTGATGAATTAAAAGACAAGTATGTTTGTATGTGACTGCTCACAGAATACAAAATCAATATTATTGTACGTGTCAATCAATGAAGTTCAATGAATAAATCCCAATTCAAATACGAGAGAGAACAAGTAAGAAACAAACACGTGACTATGAGGGTTGTACCTGGTACCACTCCTAGGCTCCCGGCGAGTGGGCGATTTACGGTTGTTGACATTGAACTTGTTAAACATCAATAGAGAGTTGAATGTATGTATCGAATTGAACACAAAGAGAAAGAGAGAGAGAGAGAGAGAGAGAGAGATACAAACAAAGGGGGGGGGGGCTCTTGTTATCGAGCACTACCATACCTGGTACCGTAATTGAATCGTACCAGTCCGTGCAGTTTATTGTCCGTTCATCTGGGCCTACTACAATTGTGATAGACGTGAGTTTGCTGCAAATAGCTGTATTATACTCCAAACTTGCTGTTCTCCATACCGGGTCTCCATATATGCTTGGATACATATTATCTCGATAATCTTTTCCAACTCCAATGCACTATTTGTTTATTTAGGAAGTAGGTCGGTCTCGCGTCAGATCTCGAACTTTTAAGGCTTCATTATTTTGTTAGAAGACCGAACAAAGACGTCTATGAATTTAGCAGTTTGCTTTCATTGTACAGGAATTGTTTAATAGTTGAATTCAGTGGTGTTCTGCAAAAGAAAGATACAAAGACCGTAAATGGTAAGTTAAATACATCTGCATGTAGATGGCTATTGTGAAAAATAACGAGTGTCATTGACAAAGTGTAACACATAGCGAGTGAAGAGGGTGTTTTGTGGTAGGTCCATGATGTTAAATAATATGATGCTATACCATGGCGGTGATTTCTTTTTTATGACCGGAGGACGAAATGCGGGGAAGGAGGGAGCATAGTAATGCCTAGGTCACATATAAACCGGGCCCCGTACGATTTTCCCTACCCGGCGGCTTGCCGTGGATTTAGAGACCGTACGATTTTCATTTCTACGGCATGTGTGGTCACATATTCTGCGGCGCCCGGGAGGTGCCCGGAGAAAATTGGTCGGGTGAAATGCAAGGCGCCCGTAAAGATGCCGGCCGGTAAGCTTACGTGCTCCGTCCGATGAGCAGGTGCACCCGTGGCTCCCGGAAGGTGCCCTGCCGGGGCCCGGCCGGGGTCCTCAAGGTGCCCTGTCGGGGCCCGGCCGGGTCCCGTGCGGTGCACTGAACTATGTGTCCTCTGACATCCGCACCTCCCGTACGGGCCCCGGAGTGTATATGTGAAAGCCCCATTAAGGGGATAGTTGAGTTATGATGCAGAGGGCGCTACACACACATTAATTTCTTTGTGAGATTATGGAAAGCTGAGTGTCAAATTTTAAAGAACGTACAATTTAAATGACAAAATCATCTTTGTTTGATCAAAATCGGTTCAGAAACGGCTGAAGTATCCATAAATATAACGATTTCTAATATTTGTGTAACACCACAAATATTCAATAATTTGAAAAAAAAACGTTGAAAAAACGAAATAGCGCCTTTTTGTATTTCAGCCAATGCCGATGTTGGATTTTTTTGTTGGCTTTGTCGTGTTGGTTATACTACGCACAACCAGCCGGCCCATGTATTGTTATTATTAATTAACTAATTAATTAACGGTCACCGATTTTTTTTTTTTGAAAGTGGAGCTGAACTAGTATGAGCGTATGGGCTTAATTTTACACATTTTGGGGTCTAAAATCCCCTTCACATCAATTCTAGGTCCCAAAAGGGCACTAGAAATGTCATAGATAATAATAACAGCAATAAACCGTCGCTGTTTTCACGAAGTGACGGTAGTGAAAAAAATTTGCATTCACTTTGCGTTACGATTTTCCTCACTACCGTCACTTCGTGAAAATAGGGACGAAACATGCACTTTGAAGGCATTTGCGGTCTGAAAACAGAACCCAACTATCCCCTTAACGAGAGGGGCGAATTTGACGAAAGTGATTACCCCCTCAAAGGTTTTTGAAGTCTTGTTCACAGATTTTCTACAAAATTACTCGTACATTTTGAAGAATATTATGCGAGGGAGGGAGCAAAACGACCGAGCGACAAAATGTTTGCATTTTTATTAGTCTAAAAGCTGCACTATTGGGCCCTTCAGAGCCTAAAAGTGTGTTGCAGTCTTTAATCAGTATTACATTTTGTTATACATATTTTGAGTGCACTTTTTCAAATTTTCTGGGAGAGGGGGAAGGGGGGGACGTATACCCCCGCCTTCCCGGGATCGCTGCCCCTGTGCTTTACACTCGGATGGACAGACATTTTTTTTCCTACCATATTGCATCCAATACACCAGTTTACGGTTACATCAGTGCGCATGCGCAGACAGGCTGACCTCAGGTCATTGGCTTTGAAACAAATCCAGTGACCTGAGGTCAGTGGTATTTATGCGTAAATACACCAGTTTACAGTTGTATCAGTGCGCATGCGCAGACAGTTGACCTCGGGTCATTGGCCCCGGAACGGGGCCAATAACCTCTGACCTCTGGTATTTATGCGTAAATTAAGATTGCGCCCATGCAAATGATGATGTGCGCGCACAACGCAGCGCGTAGGGCAGTGATGTCATCATAATTTGCATGGGCGCAATCTTAATTTACGCATAAATACATGACCTCTAGGTCATTGGCTTTGTTTAAAATGGCGCACACAACCGTAAACTGGTGTATTCTCATACACGCTGCTATAGAATGTGTGGTAGTGTGAGAGAAATCTCCCTGTAAATCATTATATAGATTTTAAAAAGGAGGTATACAGAAGTAGTTACATAGTGAAATTGATTGAAAATAGAGTTATCAATTTTCTTTTTCCTGAGCAGAAAGTATATTGTATAGGGAAACTGTTTTCGAAATTTCATTACCCTGTTTGTCTCCATTAGAAATCATGTGCGGAGTACGTTACCCGTCAGTGACAAGTTCGCACATTCAATATACACTGTCGCTCATATAGGTGGAATATTTTTGTATTACCCCACTTTATGGAATTATTTTAAAAATAATTTAAAAAATAATAAATCTAGATAAAAGTATACATTCTCAGATTTTATTGAATAATAATTTGCAAATGTGTGTTTTGCGTGACTGCTAAAGCGTACGCTTCTATGTTTATCAAATAGGGGACCTAAGCCCTTAAGTTATAATTGACAGTAATGAGGATTAATGCCCCACACAAGGGCACTAATATAGCACATCGACACGGTTTTGATCCTGGGGCCTCACAGTTACGAGGCCATTGCTTTGTCACTGAACCATGACTATACGCAGCGGGGGCTAGGGTAGGGGGCAGTTTCCATAAATAAAAATAAAAAAACACACAGAAAATGCAATAATTTTTCAATAATTTATTGCATTTTACCCCGGTTCCCAACATAAAAAAATCTTCTGGATGGCCATGCATGATGGTAATTTTGTCTCGTACGCTACTGAACCCATCTCACCTTGTCTGGTGGCTGTATGAAGCTAAAGGCCATACTAGACCTTGAATGAGACAAAATATAATATCAGATAATATTTGTATTTCAATTTATGTTCACAATTCAACAAAAAGATCAATACTACTTTGTAACGTATTGGACATACTTTGGACTTCCCTATTATATTTCATGGTTTTCTCCCCATTTAATTCAAAAACAGATGGGAAACTGTAAATTGACCATGCTGGTATTAACAGCATGTCTGCTCCTGAACGTATTTCTAATCGACGTGTCTTGCCTTACCGATGACGAGATCAACGAGTTCGGAGCAAGAAACCACACCGACTCAAACACCGGTCTCCAAGGATTCATCACCATTGCTGAACACAATGACGACACATATGTGGTGACATCGAATGGGGTTCCCGATCATACCGCTGGACTCTTCGCTATCCGTAAGGACGCCGTTGGCATTCTCGTGCAGGACTTTGAGTTCTTCATCCCCAAGAACCCGACTTCGTCGAACGCGAAGTACGAGTTGCCGATGGGGCCGGTCGGGTTGGCGCTCAATGGCGTTGCCCTCTTTAACCCGTACTCCAATGAGGGAACCGACGCCGTGGTCACAGAGGCAGCGACCTTCGATGAATGCGATGGTCACCCAACACCCATGGGCATCTATCACTACCACAGCAGTCCTTTCTGCGTGTTCAGCGACCGAGATAACGTACCATCAACCATCATCGGGGTGGCCCTGGATGGGTTCCCTATCTATGGCCCGAACGACGAGAACGGCAACGAACTGTATACTGCGGATCTTGACGTATGTCACGGCCGTTACGTCGACGGTAACTACCGTTACCACATCACAGAGGATTTTCCGTACATCTTGGGCTGTTTCCATGGAGAGGTCGACAGCAGGAACCTAAGACCAAACCAGGTCCTACCAACGGTAGACACTGACAGTAAGGCAAGCACCATTGTACATGGTAGTGTAACCATGGTGACGGTACTGACTACCTTACTCGTTATTTTGTTTTAATCATTTTAAGAGTCCTGTCCATTTCGACCAAAGCCCATTGTAATCATTGTAAAAAAACCTTTATTAACTTCGATAACAACGTCCTCTGTCATTCAATAATTCTTAATTATTCTTAATACTTACCTTAAATGCATGCAAGAAAAATACATGTATGTCACTGCATTCTCTTTCAGACATGTTTCTGTTTGTATTTTGCAAAGTCAAAAATTTCTTTATATACACTGTCGCTCATATGTTTTACCCCAATTTATGGAATTATTTAAAAAATAATTAAAAAATAATAGATCTAGATAATAGTATACATTCTCAGATTTTATTGAATAATAATTTGACAATGTGTGTTTTGCGTGACAGCTGAAGCATGTGTATGCTACTATGCTTATCAACTAGGGGACCTACGCCCTTAAGTCATAAAGGACAGTAATGAGGATTAATGCCCCACAAAAGGGCACTAATATAGCACATCGACACGGTTTTGATCCTGGGGCCTCATAGTTACGAGGCCATTGCTTTGTCACTGAACCATGACTGTACGGAGCGGGGGCTATAGGGTAGGGGGCAGTTTCCATAAATTTAAAAAAACAAAGAAAATGCAATAAATTTTCAATAATTTATTGCTTTTTTACCCCGGTTCCGAACACAAAAAATCCTCTGTGTGCCCATGCCTTGAGCCATAATGCATGGCCGTCCAGAGGATTTTTGTATGTTGGGGACCGGGGTAAAATGCAATAAATTATTGAAAATTATTCCATATTTGGTCTATTATTCATGTTTACAATAGGAATGCGAAGAAACAATGTTTTCATTGTCTAAATGTTCGGTGCTGGACGCTCTTGAAGTTATGTCGAATATGTCAATTAATCAAAGAGATAGGCCTGTTTAGAACACGGAATATATGAATACATAAATTTTCAATAATTTATGCAAAGAAACAATGTTTGCATTTCCTAAATGTTCGGTGCTGGACGCTCTTTAAGTTATGTCGAATATGTCAATTAATCAAAGAGATAGGCCTATTTAGAACACAGAATATATGAATACATAAATATATATTAACTTGTATAACTTCCCTTATTGTAACATATGTTTATATTATACGCTATGACTCAAAACAATATGCATGTGTGTAACATTTATGTAGTAGAATACGCAACAGTGATTATAATGAGTATATTATACCTATTTTTGAAGATACACTGTCTCTCATATAAAAATAAAATGTTCAATTTTATAGCAACGTATGTTGGAAATAAAAATATAAAAAAACAAAGTGGTATTTCATTTTTATTTCGTTCGAAATATATTCCTGTCAGCTCTAAACTTTCTTCTTCATCTAGCGTTGGGACTAAATATATTCTCTGATATATATATATATATATATGTACCGTGTGAGTAAAAAAAAATTACACCTAGAAAATTGCTAACTATTTCTAAAATCAGCTTTGAACAGTAAATCGTTAGACATATGAAAGAGCGTTTTATCCCATATCATTTGGTATCATTTTTGTGTGGTATGTGTTAACGCTGGGATGAACAGGAGGACATTGTTCGCGAGAGTGCAACAATCGACTTGCGCCAAAGTGATGCCTACATTAAGTATTCTGTTGGGATTAAAGTGAGAGAATGAATTGAATGTATCAAATGAGATGCATTGCATATGCTTTTTGCAGAAACAAAGTCACACACACACACACACACACACACATACGCGCGCACAAATGTTCGTTGATATTTGATATTCGATATGTGATATGTGTAGCATGATTAATTTTGTTAGGGATGTTATTTGGATCTGCAATTACCGAATTAATACTCAAATCCGAGTTGTTTATTCAAACAATCACATTAGTAACTTTGGCGCAAATCGATTTTTGAACTCTCGCAAACAGTGCCTCTTGTTCATCCAAGCGTCAACACATACCACACAAAAAGGATACTAAATGATTCGGGATGAAACACTCTTTCATAGGATGTATAATAATTTATTGTTCATAGATGATTTTTAAAATAACTAGCAATTTTCTAGGTGTAAACTGTTTTTCAATCTCACTGTATATATATATATATATATATATATATATATATATATATATATATACGCATGATATGACTACATGAAACGACATCTTTCTAGTTGATGAATTAAAAGACAAGTATGTTTGTATGTGACTGCTCACAGAATACAAAATCAATATTATTGAATATGTCAATCAATGAAATTCATTGAATAAATCCCAATTCAAATACGAGAGAGAACAAGTAAGAAACAAACACGTGACTATTAGGGTTGTACCCAGTGGCGTACCTGGGGTACTCCGTCAGGGGGGGGGGGGGGGCAAGCGATCGAAACAAAACAAAAAGGCGATGCTAATTTTCACTTCTGGCGAGCGAGCGGGCAAACAAATATATTTAAGTAACGTTTGGTATATAAATCGGTATTGTTGCAACTCGGGGGTGGGCACATTCATTTGTTAGCCACGTTAATTTCATTTTTGCAAGCGAGCGTAGCGAGCAAGAAAAAAATCCCTTCATTTTTAATATTTGCCACTTAAACTTGGTCCAATTGTCCCATGCCGGGTGCGGGAACAATTATTTATATTGTGTTTAGGGTGATTTTATACCCATTTTAGCTAGCGAGCGAAAATACACCTTTCTCTTAATGAATTGCGATATAAAACTTGTTTCATTGTTGCAGGTCGGGGTGGGCACAATCGTATGTAAGGCAATTTCAACCCCATTTTGGCGGGCAGGCAACCCCCCCTACATTTCTCTTTTTAATGATATTGTAGCAGGTCAGTGGTGGGCACAATTCCACGAGCTAACGGGCGAAAAAATCACTTCTCTACGGTGAGAACATGGTACATAAACTTGATTTCATTGATCCATGTCAGAGACATGATTATTTAAAGCGATGTCATTTCGAGCGAGCGTAGCGACCGAGCAATTTTTTTTAATGATTTTTCGTTCATAAATTTCAGGTTTTTTTGTTGCAGGTCAGGGCTTACACAATCATGTCTAAGGTGATGTTAATTCCGTTTTGGCGAGCGAGCACACCAAAACTTATTTGAATAATGTTTGGTACATAATTATTAACTAGTAATGTTGTTGCAGGTTAGGGCGGGCACGTTAGCGATGTTAATTTCATTTTGGCGAGTGAGCGTAGCGAGCAAGAATAAAAAATCGCTTCTTTTTTTAATAATAATATTGCCAATTAAACTTGGTCAATTGTCCTCAATGAATTCGTACATAAACTTTGTGTCTTTGTTGCAGGTCGGGGTGGGTACAATCGTGTTTAAGCCAATGTCAATCCTATTTTTGGTGGGCAGGCAAAACAAACTTAATGATGATTGGTGCATAATTTTCAGTTTTTTTGTTGCAGGTCGGGCTTACACAATCATGTTTAAGGTGATGTTAATTCCATAATGGCGAGGGAGCGTAGCTAGCGAGCAAACCAAATTTTCTTTGATTAACGTCTGGTACATAATTATCAACTGGTAATTTGTTGTAGGTTGGGTTGAGCATGTTTGTTAGCGATGTTAATTGTAAAGACAGCGTAGCAAGAGAGGGTAAAACAAAAAACAAATCAAATCATATATCAATCACTAAGATCAATCAATTCATCAATTCTGGCGAGCGAGGAAACAATATCTCTCAAAATAGCGTTCGGTGCTTATTTACTGGGATTTTCGTTGCAGGCAAGGGAGCGCACATATTTTGTTAGGAATGTCAATTCCATTTTGGTGAGCGATCATAGCGATGCAAAAAAATCAATTCTCTTTTAATAGAAATTAATACATAAACTTGTTTTTATTGGTGCAGGTCGGGATGGGCGCAATCGCGGTTAACACGATATCAATTCCTTTTTGGCTAGAGGGCGAAAAAACACTTCCATTTTTAATGATGTTGTTGCAGGTCAAGGGTGGGTACAATTGTTTTCAAAGCAATGTCTATTTCATTTATTCGCGAGCGAGCGTAGCGAGCGAGAAAAAAATTAATTAGTCTCTTCTAGTAACATTTGATACATAAACTGGGTGTTATGGTTGCCATGGTTGCAGGTCGGGTCCAGTCGGGGCAGACACAACTGTATTCTAGGCAATGCTTATCCTTTTCTTTTTTTCAGGGGGACGAGCAAGGGAAAATAATTAATACAAAATAGGCTAGCAAGCAGCTCGCGCCAGCGAAGAGTGTCGAATTTGTTATATCACTTATATTTTCCTATATTCATTTGTCTTTTTCTTTGCCGTATGCGGAATCTTTTTCTGATGGGGGAGGGGGAAAGATGCATAAAAAGTTTTTGAAGAAACTCAAAAGCAAAAGGATTGAAGGGAGTTCGAGCGACCAAACTGGTTATGAGGGTACTTTTGCATTTTTCAAAAGTAGAATTGAAGGGATTTGGTATAGGCCTTCACTACTTGTGAGCTTTGTTAAACATTTTCAGGAAAAAAACTGTACGTTTTCAAAATATCTGGGGTCAACTGCCCCTCCCCCCGGTGCGTACGGCCATGGTCTTTTTAAAAATAATTTCCCCATTTTTTTTCTTTTCTTTTCTTTTCCCTCTTTCTTCTTTTCTCTTCTCTTCCTTTTTTTTTCCTTTTCCTTTTTTCTCTTTCTTTTCTTTTTTTTTCTTTTTTTTCTCTCCCCTTTTCCTTTTTCTTTTTCTTTCCTTTCCTTTCTTTTCTTTCCCCTTTTTTTTTCTTTCTCCTTTTTTTCCTTTTCCTTCCCCCCTTTTCCTCCCCCCCCCTGGAGCCCGTTAGGGGAGGGGGGGGCACTCTGCCCCCCTTGCCCCCCCCTCAGGTACGCCAGTGGTTGTACCTGGTACCACTCCTAGGCTCCCGGCGAGTGGGCGATTTACGGTTGTTAACATTGAACTTGTTGAGCATCAATAGAGAGTTGAATGTATGTATTGAATTGAACACAAAGAGAGAAAGAGAGAGAGAGAGAGAGAGATAGTGAGAGAGAAAGAGAGAGAAAGAGAGAGAGAGAGAGAAACAAACAAAGGTGGTGGGCACTTGTAACTTTTATCGAGCATTAACATACATGGTACCGTAAATGAATTGACCAGTCCGTGCTAATTGTCCTGTCACCTCCCTGGTTCATCTACTTCATGTGATAGACGTGAGTTTGCTGCAAAGAGCTGTATTATACTCCGAACTTGCTGTTCTCCATATCTGTGTTGATACATATTATCTTTTCCAATTCCAATGTTCTGTTTGTTTATTTAGGAAGTAGGTCGGTCTCGCGTCGGGTCTCGAACTTTTGTAGGCTTCATTATTTTGTTAGAAGACCGAACAAAGACGTCTATGAATTTCGTAGTTTGCTTTCAATGTACACGAATTGTTTAAACGTTGAATTCAGTGGTGGGCATGCAGGAAAAACATGTCACTGCGTTATCTTTTAGACATGTTTCTGTTCGTATTTTGCAAAGTCAACCAATTCCTTTATATTATTATGTTGAATTGTATAAATGAATGACCGATTGATGCTCCTAATTTAGACGACAACGAAGTCTGACTGTTAGAAAGCGATGGCTCATAATATATATTCAACTTCAAGCTAATCTGATTCCAATAAAAGCATATACAGACCAGGGCCCTGTATTACAAAGAGTTGATATCAATCGCAACTTATTTGTGAATAATGATATCAATCACAACTATGTGCATATATATGTACTTATATCCACCCATCCTATGCACGGGTTTATCCAAAAAAAAGTTTGTGCGCGTAAACGGCAACAATATTTAACTATAGTGTACATTTCAATAAAAAAACTTCAAACAGACTATGACAAGACATGCCTGTTAATTACTTGTTCAGGGCGGCGACCGATGCTCAATTGCATCGTCAAAACCCATGCTACAGTTTTGTTTCTTGTAGGTAATGGGCCAGGGCCTATATTCATAAGACCTTACAAATAAAGATGGTTGTCACCTAATTTCCTAGGCTATAATTTTGAAAGTAGTTGACAACCAGGCTTAGTAAGGCTTTATGAATACGTGCCTTTTTTCAAAATGTATTTCAATTTATGCATGTTTCTTTCCCGCAACCTTGGTTTAAATAACGACTATTTGATTAATCTCTATGGACAGAATTCACCTTGCAAAAATTATTTGTCGCTATGACGGGTAATCATCTGGTAGGCTATTCAGATATAAGACATATCTTTAAAAGAAAGTGTGTGTTCATCCACTATTAAAGGGTTTCTATTCTAGGCGTCGTGGGGGGGGGGGGCGTTTCTCTACTGTCTCACCTTTTTACCATTTATATCTTTCCTTCTTTTCCCTTATTTTTTGTAGTCATTCGATATAAAGTATGTGTGTTTGGGTGTGTGCGTGTGTGTGGTTGATGAGGGAGGGAGAATGTGTCCCTGTGCAGCACAGCTAATTAAATCTCTTTGTTTACCTCACATGAAATCGTTGACATAGACTGTTTACGAGGACAGCCATTCCCTCGTATGAACATAAAATAAAATTATATAATTTTTACAATCTTTTCATCACTTTTCGACAACATTATCGTCCTTTCCTAGGTATGCCTGAAAAGCCTACACTCTCCTCATCCCGTTTTAGAAGCCCTTTAAATGATAACACTGAAACAACAATTATCCAGCTTGTTGACAAATGGGTTATTTAATAGTCACGACTTTTTATTTTATACACAAATCATTTACATAATATTTTCAGTGTAGTAAAAATATTCACACATTTTACATTTATCTTCAAACATAGGTACAATATACTCATTATAATCACTGTTCGGCATTCGACTACGTATATGATACACACATGCATATTGTTTTGAGTCATAGCGTATAATATAAACATATATTACAATTAGGGAAATGATACAAGGAAATATATATATTTATATATTCATATATTCTGTGTTCTAAATATCTCTTTGATAAATTGACATATTCGACATAACTTCAAGAGCGTCCAGCACCGAAAATTTAGTAAATGCAAATATTGCTTCTTTGCATTTCTAATATAAACATGAATAATAGACCAAATATGGCATAATTAAAAATAAAATGTTCAATTTTATAGCAACGTATGTTGGAAATATAAATTTCTAAACAAAGTGGTAATTTTTGTTTGGATTTCGTTCGAAATATATTCCTGTTAGCTCTAAAGTTACTCATTAAAATCGTATGTACATAGTTTAAAAATCCAAAATCATCTTTTTATGGAATGTGATCAGTACTACATGCAAGGTTATGACAGGAATCTTCATCCAAATCCACCGGGGCGAAGGTATGAGAGATTTAAAAAAAAAAAGGAAATGGTTATACTGTAATTGATAATGGGAATTTGATACCTTCTGTCTAGTTTTGCCATGCAATTTCAACATTCCATGACCTTTCGCCTGGTATGTGTAATCCTTCCTTATCAACCTTTCTTTGTCATACCGTAGATGGGGTAATCATACAATCAATTCACTTGGAATTTCATATTTACATCAGCTCACAGTGTGCTTTGTAAGAAATTAAAATTTATTCGAAACATTTGATTTGATTTGATTTGATTTATTGGTTATATTCCCAATTTGCTTTTACAATGAAGTTTCGCTATAAACATCCCGATTGATTTTTTTTCTTCAAATGAGAGGGGGATTGTGGTGCTAAGCCCAAACTATTTCGCTTTTACATTTAGCTCAAAAAAATAATTTGCATCAAGTTAACATGCAAGATATTGACTGCACAAATTATGTTGATTAAATTATGCATATATACGGAACATTCCAACCTTCTTGCTTTCGTGCTTTTTTTTTTACATTAATCAAGCAATTTTCTCATTTTGTTCATGTTACATTATGTAATTTGTTGGTCAAGGTTTTAAGGATAAAATCACAATATCAAGTTTCACACGGGCTTGCCAAGAATTGACATAGCTTGCAAACGAAAGCTTTAGCTGCAATGTTCAGTTCTTAAGGGGGACGTTTCCAGTGCAAAATTATGCAAATTATTCCCCTCTTTCCCTATTGTATCGGGTACATCTCGATACCAGAGTTTACGCAGGTATCGTAAATCGTAACGAGGGTAACATACACGATCCCCAAATAATGAAACGCAGAAGTACATGTATAAAACATCTAAAAGATGCAGATTACTCTATAAAGGAAGCTTCTTTTAGAAAAATGCATTTTACACTGTATATACTTATAATCTAAACAAATGCTTACATTTCATTAAAAAAGCATCATTCATCAATATTCAATTAAAATATACCTTTCATAATTTATTTACAAAGTAAATTTTACTTTCACATGATCCAGTATCATTAGGTCAACATGTCTATTATAAGTGTTCTAACTTCAATAATGTATGGGACAATATTTATCCTCGCGTCCCTTCTTCAGATTATACCTTTAAACCAAACTATACACTTTAATCTCCGAATCAGAAAATGAGGGGGGGGGGTGTCATCAAAGAGGGCACATTTACATAAATGCTACGTGATTTGTATTAATGCCAAACGGAGTTTTTTCGACGCAAGAATGTGTACATGAGCAAAGTTCAATCGATGCCGGTTTTGGCATGGACAGTTTGTTTGTTTGAAAAAAGTCTTAGGCTTGGGGGCAGTCGTCCCCCAATGCTCGCCCCCCAATAAAATTCAACACAAATTAATGTTGCTGAAATAACGTTTTCTTCTTTTCAATTTTGCCCATGATCACACTAAACCCATCACAAAGCAGTTACAAAATAGCATACAGGTAGGCCTACCAACATCTTCTCCCCTCGCCCCTGCCCTCGCCCTCGCTTTGACGTATATCTGGTGGAAAAAGGTAATGAGAGTCGACTTACTTCACATTATACCAACAGGTGTAAACATCGCTTTAAAATTCCATGATGATTTGTAAAAAGGAAACAGAAAAAACGAAGCATTTCCAAAATAAAATGTCATCCATGTCGTGTATACATGATCGCTCCCGGCGACAGCGAATGTCTGCGCACCCGATTTTCTTGCATACAAAACATTAGCTGAGCTTGAGGGGCACAGGGGGCTCGCATAATGTTGAAACCAAATCTGTTTTGCATTTTACGCAAACTCGGCTGAGTAAAAGCTTTGAAACAAAATGTTGTACACGAGTTCCCCTTGACAAACATTTGTTTGTCTGAGAGTTTGAAAACATTGTCACTAAAATATGAGGAAATGCGCCTAAATAATAATAATAATAATAATAATAATAATAATAATAATAATAATAATAATAATAATAATAATCTTTTAAAGTCTACTCCAATTTTTTAAAAAGTTAAACCGAAAATGGAAATTATTTTTGCCCAATTGATCGTGAGCCCGGCAGCCACTGAGCAGCGCCAGATCGACGTTGCTCTATCTCTTATTGTTGAACGCCAAACAAGGTAGCAGCAACTCCCGTCTTTTAACGTTTTTTGGTATGACGCGGCCGGGGTTCGAACCATTTTTTCTTCTCTTTATCTTCGTTTTTGTCTGTCTTTTGTTGTTCATCAAGACCCGTGCCCCTTTAAAAAATGTGGGATCCGCCACTGAAAAGGGACTTAACACCTTGATATCCATTCACATACCTGAAACATGGCACTTTCCAACGTCACGCCTTCCAACGTTACTACTCCAAAACGCAAGCCTGTTCACCATTTTACTTTCCCATCTAGGGTGACCAATCTTCACAAACATTGGTTGGTTGGTTGCTTTTTTTAAATTTGACTGCTAAAACAACATGCTTATCAATAAGCAACCAGGCTCATCATGTTTATATAAATTCTATTAACTACTTTTTGCAGAATATTTCCAAGGAAGAAGTTCATAACAATACAAACTGAACGTGTCTACATAGAAAATCAACTCTTACAGTATGCTGAAATTGTCTCTTCAAAATTCAATAAATGGTACACTATAGTCCTGATAGTTTGGATATGACCTTGACATCATCAGAATACAAACCATTCCAATGTCTCCTCTGAGTCCTCTTCTAACGTACATCATTGCATTCAATCTATGTTTAAATACGTACTCTTTACAACACATGCATGTATGTTCTTCATAACTGATTGCGTTATCGTCTATATTCATCGCGGCCTCGGAATGATATAAAGCTTTGGGTAGTGGTGACCAAATGTCCCACAAATCAATTTGATTATCAGCTCTGCTCCCTAAGGTCTCTTGTGTTTATTCTGTTCATGTAGCAATGTGGGTAGGTAATATAAATGAACCCGATTCAGTTTCCTCCAGCCTGGGTTGGTGGACGAGAGCGATATACAATTCCAATCATTGCAACGATTCCAGGACAGGATACAATGGACGTCTCCTTTTAGAGGAAGTAGTGGGTTTGGCGCTTTTTTAGTCGAGGAACGGACTACATTTACATTCGTCCGTAACCAGAGAAAATAGACTTTGAAGGTGCAGTAAAATGACAAATTAACATGATCAAATTGTTTCGCAACTATTTGAAAGATAAGACATCTTTCAGTCATCGCAATAATCATTCTTTCATTAATTCTCGATTTGGGATGCTTATAGACATGGTTGATTTCTTTGATATTGTCATCGCATCTTATGTAGCATCTCCAGGCGATGGGCCAATAATGTGCTTCCGAAGATTGATCAGAGGGTCACGTGACACGAAACGTCCAATCCACTATGCTCTTTCTCATAACCAAAATGAGACTGACGGAAAAAACTTGTAATGTCCACCACTCTCATACTCTCTCTCTCTCTCTCTTTCACGTCTCTCTTCTCTACCTCATTATCCCACTCACAATCCTGTCTCTTTCTCTCTCTCTCTCTCTCCCTCTCTCTCTCTCTCTCTCTCTCTCGCTCTCCTGTTCTCTCACCCCTTCCTAATCTTACCCCTTTCGCTCTCACTCGGTCGGTTATGTGGACATGCACGGGGCCTGCTCCGTCGCTGTGCCTAAATGGTTAATAAAAGTGAGTCCCGAGATTCACGTTAGGGAATGCCACTGTGAAATAGGCTCCTTTGGATGACTGACCATATCATTCCAGTGCTCCAGTTCTTTGCCTCGAGCGTACATGAAAGGACCGACTACTACTCTGCCGATCTGCTTGTCACCTGTAAAACACAACCGAAAAGAAGAAGGAAATAAAGAAGAGAGATCAGTACACAACAGAAATAGATTCCTTCAAAACTATTACAGCCTTAACATACTGAGATTATCATTTGACTATATGACGTTCAGTATATGAGCGTTGAGAGAGTGACTTACAAAGGATAAACACATGAAGACAGACTCTTTAATAACAATCATAATACAAATCATACTGGGACTGCCAGTATTTAAAAGAAATCAATGCACGTTGTGATTTCCATGGCTTAGTCACTCATCAAGAGTCACTACCCATTCGTAACTATTTCAACTTCAAGTGAAGATAACGCAAGGTTCGGACAAGCCTTCAGATTGTGAATAATGACCTTTCTTTAAAAAGTATGCTTAGTAAACTGATCTATAATTGTCGCCTGATCCCATGCCGGATCACTATATATACACAATTACATCACAAGATAATTTAGGGGAGGAATCATCTGCAGATATGAACTTAGTCGTAAAATGGCAACTCATCTGATTATGACTGACCTTTGACCCCAGGTGCATGCTGCATAACGGCCACGGAGATACTGTACATGTCGAGGCCATCTGGTGGAAGCTTGAAATGAAACGACTCGTTAAAGGTTGGTGAAGGGTTCTTCTTGATGATCTCGGTCTTTTTGGCCTTGACCACCTTGCCAATGTTCATGAGACTCACTTTGACGTAGCTGTCTGTTAATCAGATTAAAAGACAAGACAAAATTATACTAGAAGGCCATACAAATGAACAAATCTAATGAACAAATGAAACAATATACTAACAAACAAGGCTTATTTAAAGTCCATAACGAGGAACAAGTTGAATTCAATCCAAATTGACATTTACGGCTGCCTATACATCTGATTGTCATGATGAATAAATAGACGACTGTAACATTTAAAAAAAAAAGAACCAAATAATTTGAGTATTTGAGTACCCCACCTAATATATATCGAAAGCTTGTTAGAGAGGACAATACGTTATCTGACTAAAAAGCAAACACTCCGGTGTTATGGACAGAATATGAGCGTACACACGCTGATTAAGAACAACTTGCAGATAGACACAAAATATTTAATATACTAGCTTTTTATTCATCAGATACATGAAGTATGAAAATAAAGATATGTGAAACATTTAAACTCTAATTTACAATTTACTGCGCGTTGTCGAATGGAAGGTTTGGTCTGAATATTAAACTTGATATTTACAAAGTAACGTTTTTAAATATGTGTTGGTATAAATGGCAAATAAATCATACAATTCTGGAAATATAGTATTCTCAGCACATTGCGGTTTATCTAAGAATTCGTCAACCGTATCCCAAAAGGACAGACATCCCAAATTACAGTGCTAATGAAGAAAAACACCATTTATTACTAAGAATTCATATTGCTCTATTTTGTGTCGTTTCAATTGCCGCAAGGAACTCGATGATGCTTGTCGCAATGGAGGAACATATACAGAAGAATCCCAAAGACGGCAGATTTGGGAGAGTGGAGGGATGGAGGGATGGGAGTGCGAGGGGGGGGGGGGGCTGCCCTTCATTGGGAGGCAGGGCCATGGCTTAATGATCAGGCTCTTTCGTCAAAACACTTAAAACCATTAAGTGATGTACTTGAGCTGAAGGAGGAAAGCGGCTACATTTACAGGAAGTCCGGCATTGGTTTCAAGACGCCATTCTCTGCGAATGGGGATAAAGTCCAGAGATTCGTTTCATGACTCTTCAGATTTACTTGTTCTTACAGAGGCTTAGATATAAAAAGCACGTAGGTATGCCATGTCACAGAAAGCAATCCATATAGCGATTGAGACCTATACTTTTAAAGGGGCGCCATGCAATTTAAAGCAAATGTGCAGTTTTAGCACAAAATGATGTTCGTCATATTTCTCTCATTTCGGATAGATAGAAAAAGTCTCATTTTTAAAGACTAATGCAGATCTTAAAAAATTTGAGTCATAAAAATAATTTGGTCTTAATTTTTTTATATTTTTAAATCCTTCTTTGTAATTCGAATTTCGTTGCTTGTTTTGTTACTACTGTCGTATATACATTCTATCTATCTATCTATCTATCAGGCTATAGTTCATCCAGACGTTGGACAAAGCCCTCCTCATGAAATTTCCATTCTCTTCTGTCTCTAGCTGTCCTGGTCCAAGCGGCCGTTCCCATGTATGATGTTCTTGCATTTGATGTGATGTTTGTTAATGTCTTCGCAATCGTCCTATACAATGCATTGGGAGTATATGATCTTTTTTTTCAGAAGATGAACATTATAATGTTTCGAATATATTCCGCGGTGTGACTGGGGTTGGGCGTCGTTGCACCGGCTTTTAGAGTATTCTTTGCTCTTTACCAATTGTGCACACAACTGTAATACATGCATTGAGATAATGGTAATAACTTACCAACGTGTTGAAAGCCATCGAGCATTTTAAAGCCTTTTCCCTCAGCCATGACCACGGTCAGTCGTTCGTTTGTGTTGTTGTAGTTTAATGAGAAATGAATATCGCCGGTCTCTGAAGAAGCAGATTGCTGTGAAAAAAAAACAAATACGAAAAACGTAAAGAATTAAATTGAGATGAAGAAGTTGTGGGGGGGGGGGGGGATAAAGAGTTACTTGCAAAAAAGGAAAACCAAAACAAAACAAAAATAGTATTCCAGTTTGTGACTAATACAATCAAGTGCCTCCTGGACCACAAGGGTATAATTATAAATCACGGATTTGTTGTCATGTTCTGTTTTATAACTGTATGATTTCATCTCTTCTTTAAATCATGAAGACGATTCAGGGAAAATGTGCAAGTTTTCTTTATAGCCCCCCTCTCCCCCCCCCCAAAAAAAAAAAGAAAGAAAAGAAGTCAACGCCCAATGTATTTCAATGGAAGTCAAATTTCGAATGCAACCTGGAAAAAAAACATTGTTGTTGTTTCCATTCAACACAAAAAGAGTAGTCATTCAAGGGAGATGTAAAATGAAATAGACAATGGCGCCAGCCGGCAAATAAGACAATGTCCAGTTAGATGCTAGTATAAAAACCATGAAGGTTAAGGCAATAAATCTTGCCAATGTTTGGTCGAGTAGATATCAAGGGAATGTCGCCGCAATATAACTCTATGTACTCAAAAAACGACACATACACTTGCAAAAACAAACCGCTAATATGAAGTATATCATAGCTCATTGTATATAACAGAGGGGGGGGGGGGGGGGAGAGAAAGCGAGAGAGAGAGAGAGAGAGAGATATGGAGGGAGGAAGGGAGAGATAGAGAGATAGATAGAGAGAGAGAGAGAGAGAGAGAAAGAGAGATGGTCAACTCCCTCGGTGACCGTTACGGTGACGTCAATGGTTGGACTGTAATAGGGTCGCTGAACGCTCAACCTAATCCAGGAATATCCTGTGGAAGAGTGTGTAGGTACTGCTGAAACGATTTTTCTGTCGGTGTCCCTTATTCTCTTTCACTTTTTCTTTCTCTTTTTTTTTCTCTCCCCCTCCCCTCTCACTCTCCATCTCTCTCTCTCTCTCTCTCTCTCCCACCCTTTGTCCCTTAATCTCACTCTGTTGCCGTTTCTAAATCTTGTTTCTCTTACTTCAGCTCTTCATTTCCATGATTTCTATCTCTCTGCTGAATTCCCTCCTCTCAATCTGCCTTTTCCATTTTAGCCATCATCCTATGACCATGTAAACAATTCCCCGTTTTACAACCACGCCCTATTCCTAATCTTCAAAGAATAAACAAAAAGTCACATTATACCACTAATTTTTCTATATAATATATTACACAGGAAAACAAACATTCCTCTAAAACAGTCGTCTCTGTTTCACACATAAAATAGACAACTGAACAACAGTCGTAATAGGAGGGACACTATTTCGCTGTCCATACGGGTGTAAGATGTCCGTCTGAAGTTTAACTAATAACTGTCATAGAGATGTCTGCTCATGGCGTCATCTCGTCGTATCAATGTGCTCAACTCTGAATGAACTCAATCAATTTTCTCTCCATTATTTCACGCTTTTTCCTTTCACTCCCCAGTTAGCGGGCAAACCACTATGTCAATTATTATACAAGGTCTGATTCATTATGTAGGATAACATGGAAGACACGTTCTTTTATTCTGTGTTGTAGTTGAATCAATTCTTTACAGCCTCAAAACTAATCAATAGAAAACATCAAAGCCCTTTTTCGATAACATTTTATTCGTAGTGTGTTTCATATCAAATCCCATTCAGCCTCCAATGCATACGGAAATGTCCTCTAGGCATTTTACAAGTTTAGAGCACCCCAATTTTGATTTTGAGTATTGTTTTACTTCTCATTAAACATATTTCCTGAATAATGAAAATAACGTTAGTATTCAAAAGAATCGACTCATCGTAGTGACCTGATAGGCCTTTTTAGGTAACGTTTTCTCGCCATCGCAATATAAACTTTTGTTTACATAAAACATCAAATTTTAGCTTCAAGTGCCTGTTATGCCTTTTTCAGTTTCGGGTTATTATTTATTAATATTGTAAAATTGCATATTTAAAACTATATGTTATTAAACATAATTCTTTGCGATCTATTATTATTGCACCTGTTTTGCTTTTCAACTCCCTATGCTAAAATTATCTCCGATTACGTCATATTCTTTCCATCATCTTTTTCTATTCCTGTGCCTCTATCTTTGTCTGTTCATATCTCCTTCTATCCCTTTATCCTTCCTTATGTTTATAAATCCGTCTGTCCATGCTTACTGTCATCGCCTATGCTATCTTCTCCCAAGCATGCCCGGATTTCTGGGCCACCTTATCGATTCAGTGGACGTGTTCATGAATAATTCTTTCCGCCTTCAGGAATTGTTTGTCTCAGTAAGCCGTGGATGATAATACCCTCCAGTTGTAGGTGAAGCTCGGCAATGGGCACGTCCCGCTGCAACCAACTTTCCCCCAGGCATCGTCTTCAACGATGACAACACTCGCAGTTAATCTGTGATTCATGCACGAGATTTGCGTTTACCAAAAAGGGTTGTGCATCTCACTTGGTGCGTTAGAAAGCGCGCGTTAAAAGAGATGCGGGAAGTGGGAAAGTGCTTCTGTCGGGTGAGAAAAGACGGGAGTGATGGAGAAATCATTTCCATCTAACCCGGAGCCCACTCACTAATCGAATCCAGAAAGTCTGAACGGGTGCTGAACTTGTTAATCGCTTCCTATTTGTCCCAAAGGTCAGAGTAATTGAAGGGATTTCTATCCTCATGCACATTTAATGACTTTAAATGTATTTGATTGTAAGCTCCTAGCCGTACAAATGATCCATGCATTTAACAAGGGGAATCAATTTCGATGGTTTGTTGAATAATTTGAGTAGAAACTGCTCCGTGATCCCTATATGTATTAATGACGTAGTTGGTATTGATATAAGGGTTAAAAATCAAAAGCAAGGTATTGATTATATAAGAACAGAATACACATTGAAAAAGAAATCAAAATCTCACTTTGCTTTGTTATCTGTAAACTGGGGACATTCCATAATGACTTGATATTCAACGGATCACTAGTCCCGCTACGGCGCTATGATAGCCTAAGATACGTTTATAAGTTATTCAGTAGCTCTCATTCTCTTCAATCACTACCACCTTATATATCGAGGCAATCTCGACATCTTATTCAAAATTCATGGTTCTGCATTAGTTTATTTTATATCAATGGTCAAAGAAAGAGAGAGCCTTGGTTCTAGAGTTGCGTCACCAGCATCCCTTCAAGACTGCATCATTGATGCACCCATCAAGAAAGGCTTCAACCTTGCCCTAAGTGGCCAAAGTACTCACACGTCTTCAAGAGAGTGCTATCAAGTAAGACAGTTGTCTATGCGCCCACGTCCAACCTCGCCGTGCTATAAGGAGTATCTATCATGTTCTTCACTCGCTATTGTTTCTTTCGCCCTTTTCCCCCTCCAAATGACCACCTATTCTCATACATTTAGTATGTGACGTCATTCCTGCTCCATCCCTAGTACAGCTCAATGCATGAGTAAGGATCACCCCTCGAGACATAAGATTTAAAGACTCAAGTCAGTTACAGAACGTGCCGCCCTTCGCCATTTGTCAATTGTATCGAATATTATGTCAATGTGAAGTACACACCCTGAGAAGAACTACAGAAACCAGGAGCACTGAACATGTCTAAGATTTAGAAGGCAAATCGTGATCAAACGTAGTATAGGATGGGTCTAACCATTGAGGGGGCAATCGTGGACTGCAAGGGGGGGGGGCATGTCGGAGGGCTAGAGCATGGTGAGAAAGGGGGTCCTATCACCTTATTATTTGTTGCTTTCCTCCTCTCGATTTTGTTTGGCAACAACCACGGAATAGCTCATCACAAGAAACCCTTACTCTAACCCTGACCCATAAACTTATAATCCTGATTTTAATCCCTCAACTAAATTCTAACCCTTACCCTAAATCTAATATTGAGTAATAAGAAGTTGGGTATTCTGGAGTTAATCCCCTTTTATTTCCTCTTTTCGCCGCACAATTGAAGGGATGTGGCTCTCGCGCCAATGGCTACACCGCTGGGGGGGGGGGGGGTGTTTCACAAAACTTGTCATCAGTGACAAATGACAGTTTTTATTATAGGCTACTGAAATCCTTGCTTCTGATTGGTTATCAACAGAGTTGTCATTGATTATTGTCATTGAAAAAAAGCTTTGTTTCCTGGTGATCATCACCTACCTCGGTTACTTCTTTCTCAAGATCGAGCCACATAACGACCTTCTGGTGGGCCTCATAGTCCATATCTTTGAGAGGGTAGGTGCTGTGACCGATCAGCCTGTGCTTCTTGGAGCGATCCACGTCATAGACGGAGAGACGAAGGGTGCGTTGCTGCAAAGCTTTGAAAGTGACCTGACAAAGAATAATAATAATAATATCAAACAAATGATTCATTTAATTATTTATTATTTTATTTTTGTGTTTATTTATTGAATGTTGTGTTCACCAATTTAAGGTATGTAACTGTTTAAAAATAGAGTGTAGGTAAATTAAATTGGATAGCTGCTTTGAAAGCGGGGTCTAGTGTTACAACAGTTATACGAGCAAGGTCCTCACCATCATCATCATCATTGTCACCATCATAGTCATCATCATATGGAGCGTATTAAGAAAATACCCCGTGTAAGCAACGGAAAGAAGCTGCCAATTTGTCGTATTTACAACAGTTGCCAAATAAGTTTGGTTTTCATCTCCTCCACAGGGAACAAATGTAAGGCTTTGCGTCTTAAACTGAAACATAATAAATCGAGCTGCTACCAAGTGACTGCCAGAGTTCCAGCTTCAGAATTTAGGATAACATCTGTGAAACTGTTGAGGAAATCTTCCATGATTTACTTTAAATAGCTCACCTAAGAATTTGTTTTGGGGAATTTCTTTCTGAAAATCTTTCTAATGATCAAGAATCCAATTTTGGCAAGCCCAACTGGGGAACGTAAATCGAGCGACAATATAATCATTTATCTTGATGAAAAATTCAACAGGGAAATGAAACAGAAAGTTGCATCATTTGCACATTACAATATCTTTACATTAAATAATTGATCACGTTGGATGAAATATTCTCACTTTCACATACCTGGAAGACGAAGCTCTCGTCGAACCTGGGGTTGCAAGTTTTCCGTTTGACCTTTGACTGTAGATGACGTCTTTCCTCCGGAAGTAGAAAGACTTTCACCAGGGGGTCACACTGGTTGGCATTGCCTAATGTTCTACTAGGTAGGTTTTTGGACTGGGTGTGCAAAAAAAAAAAGACAAAATGAAACCAAAAATTTGTTTGATAATGTAATGGTTTAATGACTGTTTCTTATACAACAAGATAATGTGCCTTCTATGATTAATATGTGATTTCTTTCTTAGAATTGATTAGTAAGTGAAATAAATGTACATCTCAAGTACTTCTCAATAAATCTCTTTTGAAATAAAACAATAACTGAAATTGGAAGGACTCATGATACATCACTTCAACTGCTGACAGTTTTGCGGACCATTGGTATGGTATTCGTTAAATCAATAACATTCGGCCAGGGAACAAAAAGACTCGTGACTGCCTTCGTGATAGCTAGCCTTGAATCGGCACGCATCGCATTCACGTGCTCATTACTGGTCTTATCAAACTGAAAACTAGGACATTGGTAGTTTTCGAAGCTCTTTGGAAGCGCATAGAGACAAAAACGAAATATAATTATTATTATTTATTATTCCCACGATAACACAAGTAGAATAGTATATCAATTATATGGAGGTGTCCTGGTCTAGCGGAAAAGACACCGGACTGTGGAGCGCATTGTTTGCGGTTCGAGTGCCGCCGCGTTCTGTGTCAAAATATTAATCTACATTTTTCACACTCGGCCAATTTTGAGGAAACTGGGTACCTGGCAGGAATTCATTCCTTGAAATACAAGAGCGCCATAATGACAGCCATGGTAAAGCCGAGGTAATAATTGTGGAAATGCTAGCCGTGCTAAAGCAAGTGTAATAATCGGGAGCGCCAGGAGTGTCAACCCTGACAGACATGAGCGCTATACAAGAACCCACTAATATTATTATTATTATTAACATTTATTATTATCATTATTATCATCATTATCATCATTATTTTCATTATCGTTATTATGCTATTTACAAGGGGTAATTATGTTTGTTGCCCCCTTTGATGCCAAATGTCCTTTATAATAGGGAAGGTGTTAGTATTTTATCAATGATGATAGAATAACATTGTTCGATAGGCCTATATTCAGTGATTTTAATACTATCAAAATCTAGTACGATTAGTACTACGTAGTGTGGGCGTTTTTTGTGTGTGTGTATGTGTGTGTGGGAGGGGTTCCGTGATACAGCAAAAAGTTAATCGACATCGATTTGGCAACATGTAAATGCATAAGCGCATATTATGTATTAACTAAATGTATTACTAAATCTTCTCGAAGAATAATGTTCAACCTTGTGTTTGTATGGAGTCATACATTAATACGAATTGTTTAGAGAAAGAAAGAGAGAGAAAGAGAGAGAAAGAGAGAAAGCGAGAAAGAGAGAAAGAGAGAAAGAAAGAGAAGAGAGAGAGAAAAGAGAAAAAGAGAGAAAGAGAGAAAGAGAGAAAGAGAGAAGAGAGAGAGAGAGAAAAGAGAAAGAGAGAAAGAGAGAAAGAGAGAAAGAGAGAGAAAGAGAGAAAGAGAGAAAGAGAGAGAAAGAGAGAAAGAGAGAGAAAGAGAGAAAGAGAAAGAGATAGATGTTCATCCTACCTTAATGAGGGATACGACAAGGCGCTCGGATTCGAGCTCATACTCAACAGCGAACCATATTCGTCCGATGTGGTCATCGGGGTAGTTGGACTCCTCCTCTTCGTCCTGCAGCTTGTATAGCTCGGGATTCAGACCACCGAGTACGAAGGCACCTGCATGATAAAAGAGAGAACAGCAAGAAAGATTAACAGAGAGATGAATAGATAGACAGATAAATATGTAAATATTAAGTGGATAGAGAGAAAGAGAGACAAAGAGAGAGAGAGGGGGAGAGAGAAAGAGAAAGAGAGAGAGAGAGAGAGAGGGGGGGGGGAGGGGGAGATTAGAGTAGGGGTGGGAACACATGTTTAAGTAAACGAAAGGTTAGACATCATAAGAGAGACATAAAATGATAAATTCATTCATACAGGAGAACAGAGAAATATATAAAGAACGATACAGGGAAGGAGGGTGGAGGCAGATGGGGCCCGGAAAGGGAGGAGGGTGGGGGGGGGGGGAGAGATAGAACAAGAGAGAGAATTAGGTTAAGATAAAATGACAAATGCATCATCGAAGGCGCAAGCGATTGGATGAACAGTTCTCGCCAAGTGTGATGAATCTAATAGTCTGAGATATGCGTCATCACACACATCATTAAGGAAAATATTACAAAAAACTAGAGTAACACGTATCCAGAATAGCAATGCATACTGCTATGGTATAATAATGTCTACCCTAAGATGTTAAATTACAGAAGCTTGCAAAGGCTATGAAGACCGATCTATATACAATAGACTCAAAATATGCCGAGTTTTCTGTGTTTTATTTACCAAAACCCCTATACAAGGATAAAGACATTGAGCAGAGATCGAACCAGTGACCTCTTGTACAATAATTTTCACCAATAACACTCCCAAACGTTTACAAACCAACTTGTAAAGACTTATCTATGCAAAACTAGAATTTATATTCAGATCGGAGTTGACCAGCACATGTGTTCATTGGCGAGATTAAATCTCGCAAAATATTGCACTGTTTTGAATTACCTAATTGGGCGTTGGCACACTCACTGGAAGTATCGATGCTAAAGGCGATAAGAGAAATTAATGTGTGTACTCCGCCTTAATGGAGATTGAAACTGATTTGAATAGGTTAACCTGTGGTAACTCGAAACCACGGCCAGAATTGACTTCGTTCGTGATTTATCTACTCATTGTAGTAAAAGGGTTAAGGAAGAAAGATGTTAATACATGGAAATTATTTAAGAAGGAGATGACTTGATATGAATTCAGAAGGTTCACCATTTTATCATACAATATCCTGATGTATATTGTATATCAAATACATTCGTGTTGTTAGTGTAGTATATCACTAAAGGACCGAAGTAGATTTTTTTGTTCATCACATCAAAGTTTATTTGGAGGGCATATAACATCCGTATAATATTATAATTATTAACCTCGCTTCTCCATCATGCTTGACATGCTATTCGCTTCCTCTATGTGTGAGGACACGCCAAGTGTAGCTTTATTGAGCAAGTTTAAATGACTATAGATAGCATTAGGGACTTTTAGATTTGCGTGGACTGATACGTGTGACTTCCATTCAAGGCAGTGCATTAAAAGGACGTCGATCGTAGCAGTCCCCATTGTCTTCGTGCGAATCTAAAAGTCCCTATTAACGACGTGACGTATACTAAAGTCTTGAAATACTCTACAGGTCAAGTTTGGATACAAAAGCGCCCCCCATAGTTGAGCAAAGTTATATGATAATATTCAACATGTGCATTAGCATATCTGCCGAACCAACTAGACAAATTTACGAAATTATTATCGTTCCAACATTCAATTTAAGAATAACCTGTTACTGAACAAACAACATTATTCAATAAATCCGACATGGGCCCCAACCTGTGGAAAGTTTAGGATAACACTACGTTCACTTTAAATCTTATTTATCTAGTCTATTATCTTAAAGACAATTTAAAGTCCCTTTTATAATAAGGGGATAAGGATGTGATATTGGCTTTGTATGTTTTGGCAAGATAAACTTTGAATTAGTATATTATGTAGACTGATTTGGAATGAGAGTTGAAATACTCTTCTTTTTATCACGATCTTAATAATCCCCATTATACCACAGCCAGTACCAAAACGACATTGTATAAGACGGATTGAAGGTTATACAAAACGTAATTATTGCAATCGTAATGGGGCATGTTCCTACAATCCTTTATTGCAGTCATACGATACCTGATAGACCGTTAAATTAAAGAGCCAAATTTTATTTCTAATCACATCGAAACTTGTAGTCCCCAAAGAATTCTTCAGGTATTAATTTTCACTCTAACTCTCTTCCCCTCTCTCTCCATCGCCTACCTTTTTCTCTCCCTCTCCTTCCACTCCCCTTCTCTTCCCATCCCTCTCTCTCTCTCTCTTCCTCTCACTGTCTCTCGCTGTCCCCTGTCTCTTTTCCTCCTCTCCCTCTTTAATAATGATGATGATGATGATGATGATAATAATAATAATAATAATAATAATAACAATAACAATACTAACAATAGTAAAATAATAATAAAAAGGATACTAATTTTGACAATGACAATAAAAATAATATTAATAGCATAGATAGCCGTGGGCGAGAAGTAACACGTTCACATTGCCAGAAGAAATTTAGTTCTGTAATAATCTCATTTTTGAGGGCGTGTTGATGAGTTTGTGTGTTTTGTAAATGGCGTCTGAAAGGAAATGGTGTTTACATTGTCATAATTGGAACCACTCGATGGACGCGTTTTGCTGGAAGGGAACCATTATGTATCTGGTTTAATTTTTAATGTCTCTAGTTTGATTTCCACTCATAAATTATAAATTGATTATTTATGTCTAAGCCCCAAAGGGAAAATGGGTTAAAAATCATTCGAGAAAGATGGTTAAGTAGCTAAAGAGTTTCGATGTTTTAGGAAATGCAGATTATTATCCAATCACTCGTCGTCGGTATAATGTGATTATTGATCAAAGGATGTGAGATAGTCAAAACTTACTACCTAACTTAAACCCCCCAAAAAAAATCAAAATCACAAATATGACTTTTAGCTTGAACTATATCTACCTGTATATAGAGTAAAAGAAGAAGAAAGAGGAAGAAGAAGAAGAAGAAGAAGAAGAAGAAGAAGAAGAAGAAGAAGAAGAAGAAGAAGAAGGAGAAGAAGGAGAAGGAGGAGGAGAAGAAGAAGAAGAAGAAAAAGAAGACGACGAAAAGAGGAATTAATGGCTTTTGGATTTTATCACTCAGTCTATATCATACACTGTTCTACTAAACGCACCAGTCATTATGAATACAATATTCTCAAAATGAAAGCGCGATCCGTCCACGAGTAGCATACATTCAGGCACATTAATGGGAGCTGGAGAAATAATGACTGTCGATAGACATACAGCCTTGAGCTGAGTGCATGTTATTAATAAGAAAACGAAACGGAATCAATATTATTTTTCTCATCATGCTGCAATGATTGTCAATGTTTAAATTTCAATAATAATGAAAAAAGGGCCTCGGAAATGAATCCAGAGTGAAGGAGAGGGATGAAGGGAGATAGAGAGAGAGAGAGAGAGAGAGAGAGAGAGAGAGATAGAGAGAGAGAGAGAGAGAGAGAGAGAGAGAGAGAGAGAGAGAGAGAGAGAGAGAGAGAGAGAGGGGGGAGGGGAGGGGGAGGGGAGAGAAAATAATATAAGAGAGGTGGGCAATACGAGGGGACGAGAATGTGAGAGGGAGAGAAAGATGGGGAAACGAAGGGAAAGAGAAAAGGGGACGAATAAAAAAAGTGAGAGTGTGTGAGCGAGAGAAGGAGAGAATGAATGAAAAAACAATTCGGGAGAAAATTTGACACTTAGACGAGGGAGAGAGAGAGAGAGAGAGAGAGAGAAAGAACGAGGAGGGGAGAGGGAGAGACTAGGATTTGGTAATACGTATTTGCTAACAAAGAAACAGAGGGAGAAGGGGGGGGGGGGGGAGGTGGGAGGAAGGATTTCGATCATTTTGCTTTAAAAAAAATAACCTTTATCATTGGAATCGATTGATTTAGTTAACAGACAATGTGCAGAATAAGAATACATATTACATATTAGCCCAGAATCATGAAAAGCTGTATGACAAATTTGACAGTTGGGATCGAGATGATAAAAAAAAGAGTTGATTTCAAGCTGAATTTGGAATGAGACGTCCCTATTGCCCTCTTTCACGTTAGGTTATTTACACAATACTGTATCGTTTCACTATAACCATGATAAACACAAACAAGACTTGTCTAGAGATATCTAGAGTGATTGCTGAATCCAACAGGAATATTAAGGTAAGATGGATACAGTCAAATAAACACAAAATCCTTGACCTCCCATTTTCAAGACTATTGCCTATTGCTCATTTATTTATATTCAATGCTCAATTCTTAAAAGCGTTTTCTGTAAAGTAAAATAACGCCACTCGCTGAAGGCAATTTATCAATACAATATCTTCTCTCTCCGTCTCACCGCCTGCTATCTCTAAATGGATTCCTTTTGAATGACTATCACAAGTACTACCTCTGCAATAATTTGCTTAGAATGAAATGTGATGCACGTCGAAAGGAAAAAGTTGAATCATGAGATTGCACGTGTATACGAACACCTAGAATATAATATATTTCTGATACAAGTCACTTAGTTCAAATTTAAAGAAGGGAAGAAGTTGAGATTCGCCTGAGCTGATCTATTGTCATACAGTAGCAACAGTGAAAAAGAAAAGAAAAGAAAATCATTAGCTTGTATTGGTAATGACAGGGGGGGGGGGGGTCTGCGGTCGAAACAATTGCTTTTATCGTATGTTTTCATAATTTCATATCCATCTCAGCTTACATTTCACACCTTTCATCATTCTGCAATGTGCATTCCACTAAGCAATCGGAAATAATAGACATTAGTTTAAAATAGATAGTTTTATGTCATCCGACTCTAATTCAAGTATTTTAAGATGAGTGTATAATTTAATGTCCATTTTTCAAGATCAAAATACGTGTAATAATATTAGGCATTTCTACAGCGCCGTCTATCTATCTAGTCTAGATAATTATATTCCGAGGCGCATTTATTATTATTACCCCAGCTTTATACAGCGCTCCAGCATTTCAATTTCAAGGAAT